CATCTTTTGCAGACATGAAATAAGAGCAGACTCAGGGACACACGCAGCTTGGCACACAACTTGGAAGTTAAAACACTGCATTGGCATATCTTATAACCTTAAAAATACTGTAATACTTACAGTATCTAGCACAAAAAAAAAACATGAATATAACATAAACAGGGTCTATAATACAATACATAAAATACAATCCATTGTATTATGATGGACATCTTCACTATTGTATATTATTGTGTACAAGACACTATACACACATTGGGAAAATGTCATTTAAGGGACAGTTATTGCAACTATTCTTAAACACCAAAATCTATAGATTTGTTTATTAGTGAAAACGGCAAAATGCAGTTTTCCCGGTACTGTAATCCGGGAACCTCAAAGACCTCAACTAAGGTTGTGCTTAGTTTACCTTACCAAATGCTACCTGCATTTGAACTGTATTTGAAATAAGGAAGGAAAATAGCTTAAATATTAAATAGTGATTTTAAAGTTAGCTTCACAAAGCCTTTGTTTGACAGATTTAATAATGCTTAGATAGATAGATAGATAGATAGATAGATAGATAGATAGATAGATAGATAGATAGATAGATAGATAGATAGATAGATAGATAGATAGATAGATAGATAGATAGATAGATAGATAGATATTTTTATGATATGTGATATATGATATTTTGTGTCGTGGTTCTCACTAGGCAAATCATACAAAAGTAGGTCCTCTGTTTATTTACCTAATCACCTATGCATCTGACACCGCTCTGTCGTGCTCTGTCGTGCTCTGTCGTGCGGTATGATATGTGATATACGATATTTTGTGTCGTGGTTCTCACTATAGGCAAATCATACAAAAGTAGGTCCTCTGTTTATTTACCCAATCACCCATGCATCTGACACCGCTCTGTCGTTCACTCATTCACCATTCAAAACAGAGTTGATGCCTATCGTGAGCTAAAACAAGTGATGTCAAACTGAGATATCCCAGACAACAACACAAACTACTTGAAAATATAACTTCAGACTGAGTTGCATGTATGAATTGCATGTGGTTTTTGCTGATCAGACAAAAAACAACTAAACAGACTTTAGCTGAATAAACAACAACAAAAAAGCGCTTTTTGTAGCCTGTCTGAACAAAGCAAAAGAAACCCATCTATTTTCTCAGAAGGACAGGCTAATGGCTCGTTACAACCAACTCCTTTGTTCCTGTGCAGTCTGGCCTGTAATTACTCTCACTCTCTCTTCTTCTCACTGTTTCCATGCACTTTCAGAACTTCTAGGCTTATGGAAATTGCTCCTACGGGTCCCGTTTGACTCTTCCACTCCACTGTGAGGGGTTAGTGCTAGAATTAGAGACAGTAACTAACATTGAAATGAAAATAATTGTAGATAAACCCCTTGCATATTCCTAACCCATTTGTATATTTCATAAAGCAACATGATTCATGAAATAAACAAGTGTTTTTTTTTCTGGAAAGTGCTTTTATGAAGTATATTCAGATTGTCCAGATTGTCACACTGCAACTTTTAAAGGAAAGGTAAACCTTTTCTTTTTGCTAAATAAAATCAGTGATTTTCCCATGGATTTTGCTCTTATTCTGAGTTGTGACCAATAACATGAGGAGCTGATAAGGGTTAATAACGCTTTGCCTTTTGACAGCTTGCCAGTAAACATCTGTAAGCACTTTCTTTCAAATCCGTCTTTGAATAGTCTAATCGTTTAGCGCCATCAAGTGGAGGGTTAGTGTATGGTCACGTGTGATTCTTAAAGAGATAGTTTACCCTAAAGAGGCTGTCGCTGTCATTTGCTGTCACAAAGAACCGTTTTTGTTAACATAATGAAAGATAATGGGTTACAAAACAAAAACAAAAACAAAAAAAATGTTCTGCCAAGAAAGGAAACAATGTACAGTTTTTTGGAACAGTACGGGAATGCATTGACGTGACTTTCCCGCCTGAACAACCCCCCTCCTCTGCCTGACTGAGTGGCAAAAGATCTGCTGCGTGACTGGATTTAATAGGGGAAACTGCGAAAATGTGACTAAAACGAACAATTTTAGCAATTGAAACAAAATGTTGGACTCAATATAGTTCCTTACAACTCATTGAAGATCCAGAGATCCATGGATATCGACATGCAGCCAGCAATTGTATTGCCTGACATTTATGTTTGCCTGATTTCGACACCGGGGAAATAAAAGCAATGTAGACCTTAAAGGGTTAGTTCACCCAAAAATGAAAATTAAATCATTAATTACTCACCCCCATGCTGTACCAACCCCGTAAGACATCCGTTCGTCTTTGGAACTCAAATAAAGATATTTTTGATTAAATCTCAGAGATGGATCACTGCTACATAGGCTGCCTAAGGGAATGAAACTTGACGGCCCAGAAAGTCATTAAAGAAAATGTTTAAATATGGCATGTGCCTACAGTGGCTCAACTATAAGATTATCAAGCGACGAGAATACTTTTTGTGTGAAAAAAACAAACATAAATAACGATTTCATTCGACTATTCCATTACTTCCTTAAGGGCCTTGAGACGAGAATTGAAGAGATTTCCAGAACGCATGCGCGAGAACTGAGATGAGGACGTTCTTTTTCGACTACTTCTTGTTACCGGCTGCTCACTTCAAGATGACGTGCTGATATAGCCGGAAGTGCAAAACTTTCTGTTTACAAGCAGAGGAAGACGCGCGCTGTACATACGCTTATTAATAATAAATCACAATATGCTCATTTTTTTGAGAAGGACCTGTATGGTTTTACACCTAAATCTAGCATATTGACACAAAAGGATAACTGCAAATCCACCTTTCGCAGACTGGAGTCCAGTTGTTTCTGTGAATTTGCTCCTCTATAGCAGTCTGTAAAAATATACCTCCGATTTTTTTGTCAAATCTAGTTGTACAGTCAATCGCAAAGCTTTTTCCTACTTTATATGTGTTGTGCTTGTTTTTTCCCAACATTCACGCTGAAAACAAATACAGCCGCTCAGTATTTTTGCCACTCACTCTGAGTAACTACAGACACTCCGGCCGACAGTGACGTCACACGCATTCTGTCTAAAGATAAAAATGTGCAGATATATGAACTTTCAAAATTTGCTAAATATTCTCCAACATAATGAACAGCAGCATGAGATCAAAACAAATTATAATGCAAAGAGCCACAAATAATTCTGAATAAACACACGTAAAAAACACAAAATAACAGTCTGTACAATTTATTCTGATCGAAGTGCTTCCGGGGAACTAGGAAGTACACCTATAGCATAATTTAGGCTACAATATTAAAATCATTACAATTATCCCAAGTTCCAAACTTCTCTGAATTTACCTACTTGTGATTAAACTAAAAGTAATCAAGCACACAATCTCCAAAAAGAATGCCTATGAAGCAGAATGAGTGGGGAAAAAACATGTTGATATAACACAATGCATAAATTATGTAGGCTATATACAGTATGCATTCTGTTATATTAACATGTTGTTTGTTATATCAACATATTGTTGTTTTTTTCACTCATTCTACTTTACAGGCATTATATAGGCATTATTCAAAGAGCCCCCAATCACCACTTCCTGGTTAAAATATGTCCTTTGCACAACCACAAACCCACTAGCCAGTGTTCATTCTGTTTATCGATCATGCACCACCACAGATGCATGTGCATATGCAACTGTGTGCAACAATTTGTCAAAGAGAGAACAGAGAAATCATATGTTTGGGAGATGGGAAATTTTTGCATTGTGCTCAAACACAAAATGCTGATTTAAATGCTAAATAAGGGGTCAGACGTCACGTTCACAAGTAACATTACTGTATAGTGAAACATCTCCAGCACAGGTAACTGATGCACAAACACCACACAGAACAGCATGTGCTTTACAGACAGGAAAACCAACACGACCGTGGCACTGCCAATAAATGAATGAATGAATGTATTACACATTCATTCATCTAATAATTAGCATTGCTGGGGGTTCCAACAAATAGTAAGCTACTAACTAGCACACAACTAGCCTACTGGTAAGTAACACAATAATCTAATGAAATAAGCATCTCAATGCCAACATTTGCAATATTAACAACATTAGCTTAGCAAAACAAATATATTTTTTTTTAATTAACGTTACCTAAGATTTGCAGTAAGTTTACAATTCATGCCTCTGTTTATTGCCTTGTGAATCTACACTCAAAGAATCCACTAGATGGCACTATGCATTACACATTATAACTTTCTAGAAATAGGCTTAATAACATATTCTGGTAACTGTGGTATTGTTGGAGACAACAGCAATGGTAACTTTTGTTAGTAGTAGCACTCTACTTTTCATTCATGAACAGTACATTCTATGTCTATTGTTGATTATAGCGTATTCTCTGTTAAGAAACATTGCTATACGTGGAAAATATTTGTTTACAGCATAATGATAGAACAGCGAAGGAGCACATTAAAATATGAGCACATAGCCTACTTTTTGCATGCCGCCAACGTTGTCGAAAGCGTAGGTAAACGTTTCTTGTCTGGTCACACCCATTTCAATTCTCTAGAAAGACCAATGAGAAAAAAAAAGTCGAGTATTTTGCATCACTGGATGTCGGTCGTTTAATGTTTATATCGTAAAACAGCTGGCGTGTATTAAATGTTTTGCTTTTTACATCTTACCTCAACTGATCTTTTGCGCTGTGCGCTCCTGTGACCAGTAAACCCCGCCTACTTTGATTCAATTGGTTATCTCAATCATTTTGGCGAGAACTGTGTAAGCTAAGGTTTATCAGACTAAGATGTATCTTTTAAACCTTTTTGTCATCCAAACAATATACAGAGTGCTGCGTAATGGAGTGCAGCAGAGCAGTGTAATGAATTCATATATTCAATTCACTACCCTGTCATTTTATTACGTAGTACTTAGTAATGTACACGACCAACTTCCGCGTGCGTTCCTCTGTTGCTATAGGAACAGACGGATGCAGGTCCACGTGGACGCGAGTGTCCCTCCCCGTGAACGCGCAGCAAGTGTTTGATCAAACTTGTCGCCACTCGCCAGCTTTCTCGTATGCCCTTAACGGGGTCAGCTTCTGTTTCAAAATCTTCTGGATCTCCTGGACGTTCAATTAAACTTCAGCCTTAGTCTTAGTTTATGTCACTTCAATATTGTGATAAAAAGTTTCTAAAAATTAGGTAGACTTTTCAACAAGAGATTGTCGCTTCATGGCTGGATTTTATGGATTAACATCAACGGCTGCCTCTTTAAAGGTAAAGTTGTTCTTTTTTCCACCTAGATCTGCGTTTAACTTAACCATTTCTGTGTTCTGTGCTTTGGCAACTCTGAACAGGAAGTGTGAAAGAAAGTGTGTAAAGGAATCTCATACTGAGAGGAGGAAACAAGTGTTCCTGTTTTCATCAACTGCTTGTAGAGTTGCATATTGTTTTTCATTTGTTACACGACTTTATGACTTTGGTCCATCTGTGAAAGTGTATTTTTTTGTCTCTGACATTGCACTTCACTTTCTATGTGAACAGTGTATTTAGTAACACACCTGTTTGTTCTATTTTAAATTTAGATACTAGCCATCGACTTTAGCTGTGTCAGTCCAGTGTTGTCTAACTAGACTGGCAAGAAAAACTTTATTGACACAACATAATGTTTGCATAGTGTAAGATCTTTGTTAAACCTACAGGGACACACAAACTGTGGATGGTTTGTGCTAAACTAAAGAATCAGCTGATGATAGTGCTCCTGTAGGTGTGTGTGTGTGTGTGTGTGTGTGTGTGTGTGTGTGTGTGTGTGTGTGTGTGTGTGTGTGTGTGTGTGTGTGTGTGTGTGTGTGTGTGTATCTATATATATATATATATATATATATATACATATATAAACTCTAGTCAACATTTGAAGTGGATCAACCTTTCATCAAAGTTATAGATGAATTTTGAACAATACCCGTTCTTGTCTAACACAACTTTGATTCACTTTTTTGATCCACTTCAAATGTTGACTACTGTATATCCAGTCTGGTTTTTAGACATGATATTTAAGTTTTTCGACGCACCTAAACTGTTTGAACTTCATAGTACAGTACAGTGTTCTCTTCATTAACATGGCAGCATATAGATAAAGGTTCCATGCAAAGCAGTAATGCTATTACTTCTGAAGGATGTTCACAAACGGATGAAGTAGCTCTGGAGGAAGGACAACTCAATAGGCTAAGATCAGCTTATTTTCTTTTCCTGAAATGTAGTACAGAATTTACAAATGATTCAAAGAAATGTCTATAGTTACACTGGAGTTCTTTAAACTTTATCAGCTCAGGTGACCATACAGTACAAACCATACAGTTTGAGTTCAGTCAGATTTTTTAAAAATATCTATAAAGTCTTCACATTACATTTGAACTGTAGCTGGGTCACAGTTCTCTAGCTACATTTTGTCAATATATTTTTTTCTTCTGAAGAAAGAAAAACATAAATAGTAATGAAAGCCAAAATATAAAATGTCATGGATTACTAATCAATCCACTAATTTGTTGAGGGGGGTCAAAATAAAAATTTTCACCTAAAATGTAAAGCCAAATTACAGGATGAGAAAATGACTTTAGAAAGATGGCAGCTGCGCATCATTTTATTTTTTTTACACAGATATGTCTGTTAGTAAATTCTGTTGTCTTTTGTTATCCTTGTTGCCTGAATGTCTTAAGAATGAATAATGTTAAAAGTGAAAACACTACATATAGTGTTAAGACTAAGAAAAAAACATGGCTATTTAGATGGTTTGTATTTCTGAAATGTGCACATCTCTGGAAGAAGTTAATGTGCCTCAACTGTCCTGCCATTTCGGTGTATTTTTGGAACTAAAATATTGTTAAAATTGGTATGTTTCATGCAGTTGTTTTGATAAAAGGAAAGAAGATACAATCCTAGTTTCAACATTATTATTTAGACATTCCTCTTTAAATACAATAAGTATAATTTGTTTGAAAATACATATTTGGTTAATGACAATTGAAAATGGGTAAAATTAAACATTTTCAATTGGAAAGCAGAAGCACTATATCTATTGGAATTAACCTTAGTTACAGGTAATATGCATACTTTGAAGAAGAATGCATCATTTGTTTCCTCAGCAAACTTGTGGATTCTCCAGTCAATACCCCAGACGAAATACACAGCACCACTCTGTGGCATGGCTTGTCAGCTTCCATCAATCCCATTAACGTTCAGCTTGTGGTCACTAAACAAATAACGTCTGTATTCCATTAATAAGAGAGACAGTGTTCCAGTCCTCTTATTTTCTGCTCTTCTTGACAGCCAAGGACTATTTATTTTTAATTTTTTTGTTTCTCCAGAAGTTCTGTTTTTATCCAACAAGACTCTGATGAAAGTCATATCCAAGTGGCACGCCACACACACATAGCGTGTAGGGTTGATGTAGTCATAATTAAAGTTCCTTTCAAAAACTTTGGGAGAGGCGTGAAATGAGTTTTTTTACCAAGAACATTTACATTTATTAATTTAGCTGACGCTTTTCTCCAAAGCGACTTACAATTGCTATATACTGTATGTCAGAGGTCGCATGCCTCTGGAGCAACTAGGGGTTAAATGTCTCACAGTGGATTTGAACCCGGGTCTCTCACACCAAATGGCGCAGTCTTATCCACTTTGCCATCACCACCCCCCAAGAACCATCTTAAAGGAATTTTACATGTAATACGCTTATATCTATGTACTAAATAATTACAAATATTATGTAGGCCTATGTTCACTCCAAAGTGGGAATTTAACTTTAAATTGTATACAACATTTGTGAATAAAGCACCGTTTCCATCCCTTGTTCAAGATTAAAAAAAAAAAATCGTTACGTCCTGGGAAATTGCGCATAATATCTGAGATAAAAAAGAAAGTTACAATTGCGGAAGCCACCGTGGCTCTTTTATCTTACATTATAAATGACTTGCACCTCAAAGCTCACAGATTAAAAGCAATCTGTCATGTTATCTTGCATTTGGAAGCGGATGTCTGGTGTTTGGGAACAAAATCATGTGAGAATTCTGGGAGGTAATCATACCTAACCATTCTGATGGCATTTCAGACAGACCAAACCAACATTTGAGATGCTGTGCAATGAAATTTGCCCGTTGGTTAATCCTGTCATCCAATCATGTCTTTTAGTTTTTTAAATTCTGAGATTTATTTGGCTAATTTGTTTCAATTACAGTTTATGAACGTCTTCTTATTGAATCAAAAAATACCTGCCTCAATTGAGCACATAACGACTGTTAAAAAAAAAAAAAAAAAAAAAGCTATAGGGGGAAACTAGATAACTTTTCATGATGCTTTCAAACAAGTGCATTGGCTTAAGTTGTGAAATGGTATGTAGACCATATAAAAAAAGTTGTATGCATAAAAATAAGTTGTTAATGTCTAAAATTTTTGTTTGATACACATGTTTTTACAAAAATGTCTCCAGTTAAAATTATTTGTTATTCAAAGATGATACTTTTTAGGCTTTACCCTACTAGGCCAGCAGCCATAGCACCCTGTAGCCCAAGACTGGTTGCCCACTGAAGCTAAACAGGGTTAAGCCTCGTTGGTACATGGATGGGAGACTTCCTGGGAAAACTAGGTTGCTGCTGTTTATGAGGCCAGCAGGGGCCGCTCACCCTGTGGACTGTGTGGGTCCCAACGCCCCAGTAAAGTGACGGGGACACTGTATTGTCAAAGAGCGCCTTCCTTCGGATGAGACTTTAAACCGAGGTCCTGACTCTATGTGTTCATAAAAAATCCCAAGAGTAGGGGTGTAACCCCGGCATTCTGGCCAAATTTGCCCATTGGCCTCTGTCCATCATGTCCTCCTAATCATTACCATATATACTCACTGGCTTCATCACTCTGTTTCCTCTCCACCAATAAGCTGGTGTGTGATGAGTGTTCTGGTGCAATATGGCTGCCGTCGCATCATCCAGGTGGACGCTGCACATTGGTGGTGGTTGAAGAGATTCCCACTTCCATATGTAAAATGCTTTGAGTACCTAAATGCTTTCTTTAATTGTAACAAATTATTATTACTAGCCATCTAATGGTAGGTCATAAGGGTGTCATTTACATGACAATACAATCACTTTGTAAAGAAACAACTGCATAGCAACATGTTTATAATAGCATTAGCAACCACTCAGAACATCTTCGAAACCACATAGAAACACCCTGGCAACCACACACAACATCCTAGCATTGTGACAGCGAGTTTTAAAGAATGTGCACAGCAAACAAAATGTCTGTAGTTACCATTCTAATTATTTTCTTGTTTGTTTGTTTGTATTATAACTGTTTTTAAAATAAGTTTGTTATGCTCACCAATGCTGCATTTATTTGACTAAATTCATAAAAAACTAGTTAAAACTGTAATATTTAAAGAAAAAATTACTATTATTACTTTATATAGATTAATTTCTTTTTAAAAGTTTAAATGATGGCAAAGCTGCATTTTCAGTCTCACACGATCCTTCAGAAATCATTCAAGAAACATTTACTATTATCAATGTTGAAAACACCTTTGCTGATATATTTATTATTATTTGTAATGCCTTACAGACCACAAACTTTTGAACACAGCACTCTAGCAATTGAAATCCGATCGATGTAATACCATTTTCTGTAAATACAGCAATTTCTGACATTTTACCCAATTTATTCAGCTGTAACATGTCAAATGGGCTGTAAATGCAATGATGCTTTCTCGGAAGTTTATGACCCTCTTTATTCGAAAAACATAACCTGTCTAAATATACACCTTGGCGCTTTCTCTCAATCTGTCGTTCTCTTTATTTTCTATGCTCTTTCTTTTCCTGTGCCCATCTCCGTGCCCTCGTTGTCTAATTAAAGAGGTGGTTGCTAAGAGATGGTGCTTGGCGGCACTCTAAGAGGATGTGATGTGGTGTAACTCAAAAGCTTTGTTCTCTCTCTCTGCTCTTCTGTCAAGGGCTGACCCATGTGAGGAAGGAGAGTTTGTGCACACTCAAAGACACACACATGGACACCATGGCGTCTTTCTCCACCTTCAACACCTGTGGCTCCAAGGTGGATCGGGCGTCCCATCGTAGGGGAGAAGACAGGAAGGGGACGCCCAGTGACAGTGACTGCAGTGCTGTGCTTGAGAAGACCAAAGAGTTCTTCCAGATTTGTGACATAGAGAGCAAAGGCTTCATTACTCGACGGGATATGCAGGTAAGGATGTTGGGAAGGGAAAAAAACTAAGGGTCCATGTGATTTGTGATTAGGGAGTTTAATAGGTAAAGAAGAATGAACACCCACAAAATGTATCATTTGTTTTTTGCTTCCCTGGCATTTTTTCAGCTGTAAACCATGAGCTAACTGAGCAAATTTGTGTTAGTTCACCCATTAAATTGTTTACTTTTAACAGAACATAAATGGCGATCTGAATAAAGTAATTTTCTTAAGAGATTAAACAAAACAACAACAACAAAAAAACTAATTAATGACAGATTGTTAAATAATATATATATATTTTTTTTAAGCAAATTACTTTATTCATATATATATATATATATATATATATATATATATATATATATATATATATATTCTCACAATCTTGGGGTTCTCACAATCTTGGAAAACCTGGATACATCAAGATCTATCTATCTATCTATCCATCTATCCATCTATCCATCTATCCATCCATCCATCCATCCATCCATCCATCCATCCATCCATCCATCCATCCACCCACCCACCCACCCACCCACCTACCTACCTACCTACCTATCTGTCTGTAATATTTCATCATCCATATATATATATATATATATCTGTAGCTTTTTTTAACAGCCTGATGGTTTATAAAAAAAAAATATATATATATATATATATATATATATATATCTCCTGTAGCTTTTTTTAACAGCCCGATGGTTTAGAAAAAAAAAAAATATATATATATATATATATATATATATATATATATATATATATATATAGGGTGGGTTATCAGCTTTTTCTTGTGGTTGTCAGAATTCAGAATCGAAGGAACACGTGGGACAGTCCCGGAATTGGGGTGGGCGTTTTGAGACCACCTCTTCAGTTGTATTATTGTGCAGATTCGATCTCCTCTTCCATTGATTGTACAGAGGCTTCCTTTGAAGTCCTGTCCTGAAGAGCCTCTTTCAAAAGCCTCACAGCTTTGATCCAGTGTCTGTGGAGCATGCATTCATAAACATTGGTTCCTCATCTTTATTTAAATTATGGCTCTTATTTCAACCAGTTTGGAAATAGATTCCACGGTTTTAAATCTTTCTATTAAATCTTTGTGAACATGTTATGAAAACTGTGACAAAACATTTACGTCTTTGACAAAGTAACTTGCATCATGGGTCTACCACATGTCGGTCTGGCAGAAAACGCTGACAACAATATTGGTGTTTCAAAGAGCAGCTTTTTTTCTAAACCTTCAGGCTGTTAAAAAAAAAAAGGCTACAGGAGGTTTATTACTGTTGTCAGAAGCTGTCACTTTGGTTTGCGGAGGAAAAGGGTGATGGCTCACAGTTTGTCCCCATCTTTACGCAAATGTTTTTCACACGTCCGTCAGCATTTACAACTGACTTTTAAAAGTACAGAAAAAGCCAAAAGTTTTATGGGACAGCTTTAAGTAGAGCATATCTGAGCAAACATTTGTCATGTTCCCACACTAGGGTGTGTTCTTTGCTTCCTAAGAATAGTAACGTTCTTGTGTGTTAACTGGGTTTATCACTGAAAGAGACTGTGTAAAGGTGTCAAACGTCAGCCTTGTTTAAAACTTTTGTCGTGACACAAATAACCTATTAAAGAACTGGGGAATATGTGGTTTGGTTTGTTTTTAAAGTGAAATTCAGTTCATGCTTCATAAAAAGGTTTTGATGTACTTTTTAAGACCAATTAAATTAATTATATATGATTGGGTCTAAACTTATGCATAAAAATGTTTTAAAAAGATCTGTTAATTTATACTCTAAATCTGCTCAGTTTTAGGTGTTTTAGGTTTTTTTACCCAAAATGCATTGTGCTTCCCCTAACGTCTGTATCATTTGTCATGTTGTTGTAGAGGTTAAATGGAGAGCTTTCTATGAGTGCTGAGGAACTTGAGAATGTCTTTGACACTTTGGACACGGATGCCAACGGATATTTGACCTTTGAGGAGTTCTCTTCTGGTTTTAGTACGTTTGCACTGCATTGACGGTTTAGATTTGAATCCATACAGCTGTCATTTAAGAAGCACACACCTTTTCCTTGATTTATACTATATGTTGAGTTTTGGGTTGTCTATATCATTTGTGTTTGTCCATTCAGGTGAGTTCATGTTTGGCCCTGGTGTGACGGCAGTAGAGTCGCATGCAGGTGACGATCTGGTCTCAAGAAAGAGTCCGGAAGTGCTCTACGAGAGCCAATGGGGGGAGAGAATCAGCAGGGCAGAGGATGATGAGGAGAAACACTTCTGCATGCTAATGGAGAACCTGGGGGCGAGCAACATCTTTGAAGAGTGAGTGTCTTTTCAGTCAGCCACACTTACTGGAAAATTTACCACTGTTTGAAATGGATCCTATATTTTCTTTTCTTTTTTAGGTTATATAGTTTAGTTATGTTGGTTAGTTTAAACATCTTTTCTTTAAACAAAACGTTTTCTTGTATGGAACTACACTAGCTAAGATACTGCTTTCGTGTTTCAAACGCATTAGTTGTGTATTTCTAATAACTACAGTTATTGTAATTTTAAATGTCATAATCATATCATTTAAATAGTGTATTTACACTAAATTAACAAGCCATAGGAAGTTTACATATGTATATAAATTCCCCCAAAACAGCCAATAGTAAGAGATAACACGCATTTACCCCCTTCTCCTGGGAATATTTTTCGATTTTGTATTAAATATCAATTTTAAAGAGCTTATATATATTTTTATATTGTTCTAAATAGAGAGTGCTGTGTAGAAATGTATTTATTTTGTAAAGTTTTTCTTTTTTATATTATGATTATTTTTAATTTGACTTTGATTTTGTCATAAAATGAACCTTTGTTGCTGATTTGACGTTAAATAAATAAATAAGAGACAGCACATTCCCAAATGAAGGAACCTTTGATAAGACCAAGGGATTTTAAAACGGGTCAATTATTGTCTTCTCATTCACCATATGGTGAGTTGAGCCCATTTTTGTAACGCATGACCGGATGCACTTTCAGCAAACTACCGCCACTCCTAAAAGGCAAACGGTGATGGTGGAAGACATCAATTATAAAAGTTCATCCTTCTGACTGACTGTAATCATTGTGTACGGTTATTGCTTTTTCAAAGGGGAGCTGACAGTTTGGATTAGATTCTGATATGCATTTCTAGTTTCATCCTCAGACTTCACGGCCAATGACTGTTTGCTGAACGTCTGATGCATGTAGCACACAACACTTAAAGGAGAACTCCGGTCAATTTTAACATTGAGCTCATTTTTTTGTACATTCGGAGTGATGTCAATACAGACAAAAACGACAAAAATCTGTGTTGCCTACACCGTGTTATTGTCTTTTTAAAATTCGCACCCTGTTGACTTCAATGGGGCATGTTCTAAACCTGCTTTTAGCCTCTTAACATCCTTGATTTGTCATTACGAGTGCACAGCCATGTGAGTGGTGTTATTAAGAGTGACCACTGTCAATCTGACTGCAGTAGATGTGAAAGATATTAATAAAAATGATGTTAGTTCAGCCAGCTCACATACCGGCATTTACTTCCTGTTTTCGGTCGAAGTCCACAGCAGTCGTTTGTCGAGTTCGCACGCGCTTTATGTACTTTTAATTTTAAAAAACTTTACTTGATCTTGGAGTAAATGGAGTCATTTTTTAGCGACTAAGATACAGCTGCATCTCATAAAATCGGAATATCATAGAAAAGTTTATTTCTGTAACTTGATTCAGAAAGTGAAACTTCTGGTATGGCTAGGGTTGCCAACCGTTCCATGTAATACGAAATCGTTCCATATTTGACGCATAAAAGTCTTGGTCCGTATTGAATTGATACGGAACGCACTTTCTTGCATATTTTTGAGAATCAATTCATTGCAAATCCATGACAGACACATGGCTTCTAATATATATGTCAAAAAGACTATGAATGAACGAAAACCTGCTATAATGGAAAATTCGGGGACTTGGCGCCTCCTTGGCGGGATGGCCCACGCCATTGTTTGTGCAATTGCCGCAGCACAGCCTATGAGCGAGTCAGACACTCGCAAATTCGTTGGCTTCAGTAGATTAAGGAAAAGGAGTTTCCGAAGACATTTGTAGGCTATGATAAGAAAAACTACTAAATTAAAAATATTTTTTGCACTTGAAAGAACATTCTAGAAGTCTAATTCTATTGAATAAGTTCGCACAAGGCTACAGAAAACTGTTGTTTACATTTCTTCAAATGTAGTCTAAGCCGATGAGTTTTGAATGTTATACATTTTATTTGTTGAAATTAAAAATAAGGCATACTTTGCTATTCTATAACTATAGGCCTAATAAGTTGCATTATAATATGTCATAATGTATGAATTTCAAATTTGCTAACAGAATTTATTTGCTAACAGGCCTGTGGAAGTGCCCTTTGTGAAGGGTTTTAGTTGTTCACGTTCATTTTTAGAATGCTCCTACAAATAGCACCCCCTTCAAGGCTGCAAAAATGGCATTTGGAATTTCACCCATAATTTCAGGCGGTTCTCGGCCAATTAAAGCTGCTAAAGAGTTCAGACATTCTGCTGTCAGTCTGAATGTCTGGCTACGCGAGACTAATGTATCTCGTGTATCAGTATAAATATACGGAGCCCCTAAAAGGACATGGTGGAAAAAATATGAGTGAATAATAAGTGAAGTCAATGCTTTTGAGGTCCTCAGAGAAACTTTGCTTTTGCTCGCAAAACATGTGTAATCCCCCCAGAAACTTTGCGTTTGCTCGTAAAATGTTTTGCGTTTGTCTGCAAAACCTTCTGATCTCTTTGTGAGCAAGTGCAACGTTTCTCGGCGGATGTGAAGTGTGATGCAAGAGACTACTATAGATAAGTTACTTTGCGTAAAGGTAAAACAAAAAGCAAACTTTAAAAACTGAATTGTTGTGTTCTGTTTTTTTTTTTTTTTACAAACAATAATTTACTAAGATAGGCAGTAAGTGTGTTGTAATGTCTCAGTCCAGGAGAGGTGCGGAGTCTTTGGGCCCAGCTCAGACGAGACGAGCCTCACCTCCTGTCCAATTTTGAGGAATTCCTTTCCAGGGTCACTTACCAGATCAAGGAGGCCAACCAGGAGAGGACAGAGATGGAGACTGCCCTTAAAAGGTCAGATTCACTTTAGCACTTCCATTGCATTTTAAAAAGGATGTTATATTTGTAGTCATATACAACAAGACATTACTACCATAATTGAAAATTTGGTTGCACTTTTTTTTTTTGTTTTAAGGTTTCATTGTTACAGTGTAATTATATATTTAAGTACTGAGTAATAATAAGCAACTACATGTACTTACTAAAGGTTAGGGTAGGATTAGGATTTGGTTAAGGGGTTACTTGCATGTAATTATGAATAATTTACTGTTATTACTATGGTAAGTACTGTACATGTAACATATGTAACAAGGACACTAAAATAAAGTGTTACAGAAAATTTTCTTAGGGTGTGTTCACACTAGTTCGGTTCTCTTGTTTTTTTGTTTTTTTTGTTTTTTTCGGTCTGGACCAAAAAAAGAAAACTATACATTTAGTCCTGGTTCGCTTAACGTTTACACTGTCATTTTGAACCCCAAAAAACTCAAACTGTTTTTATGATGAATACTTTGCTTGCGACTGAACTTGTCAAACATCCAAAACAATGCTGTGTGCTGGGCTAAATGCGTTCGCTGTATACACACACATGATGGAGATGGAACTCATAAAGGGCTTATAAAATGTGTAAAGGAGTCAAAACAGCGTCAGAAATCCCTTTGTTGCAAACAAAGGAAGATCTGCTGCGAGGAGACGCAGTTCTAATGCCTGTACCAAACTGTGATGAGAAAAAGCAGGTATGCGTGAGCATTCTGTCTTTTGGGTCGCATCTTGTAACATCATGTCCTGCTTTTGGTTCATTTCGGTCTGTGTTGCGTTCATGTTTCCATCGAACCGCACAAGAGTTTGTTTAAAAGCAGGCCGAGACGCATCTTTTCAGCGTTCTCAATCCACGGCAGCGAGACTCCTGGCTTGATAGCAATGTCTGCTGTTTAGGCATATTTTTGAAATATGTCAATCTGACCTGCCAGTTATCACATACACATGGCATTTATTGTAAATGAAAGATGATGTCATGCTGCTTTTTCTCGTAGAAGATTTCTCTACCTGCCTTTGTTTCTAACTTTAATATTCTCTCCCAGCAAACCGAGAGAATAAAAACATAGAATCGAGTTAAAAATAGAGAAATCTTTCTCATTCCATGAATGCATTGAATAGTGTTTAATACTTTGATGTGACCAAATGACTTAAAAGCTTTTTGATTGATCCTGACATCTTTAATAGGAAAGCGATGACGCATGATGATGAAATCCAGAGGCTGTATGAAGAAATGGAGCAACAGATCAAGAATGAAAAAGACAGGATACTCTTAGAGGTGAAGCTTGTATTACAATTGGCTATTTAAAATAATCCTAAACCCTGAGTATACAATATACAATCTGTGACATATGTAGAGACAAGAATATCATAGAGAATTAGGAGAGGCTTCTTTTTACTTTGACTAGTAAAGAACTATATGATCTTTAGAGATTAAAACAGCCCTCTCATAGTTGCTTTTATATGTTCCTTTTATCAGATATTTGGTTCCTGGGCTCTTGTAATTCTATTTGCATTTTTATTTTTATTTTTTTGAATTAAGTTATGATTCTACAGTAGGAATAATACCTGTTACTATGTTTTTTGGTGGTAACTATTGTAAACTTTCATGTGATCTTTATGTTCTCCAGGATTCTGAGCGGTTCTTGTCTCGCAGTCAGGACTTGGAGCATCAACTTTCCTCTAAGGAGAAAGACCTGGAAATTCTTTCTATTAAACAGAAACGGGTTGGTCACAACTAATACCTTTGCTTGTTTACGTAATCACCAAACCAGTTTAACTAGTTACATTGATCTTGTAATTGCTCACACATTCACTGTTTGAATAATACATTGTAGTTAAATAAAATTGAGGAAATGACGACCAACTGCAGTTAAAAAAAGAAAATTGTATTTGAAGATATTTGATTCATTGGGAATTACACAGAGAGTGAGATCTTTTCCAGAAAGAGTTTTAATTCTGAAGTTACTTTTGCTCAAGAACAAATTAACATCTAAATTTAAGGTACTATTACTCAGGTTGGACATATTTTTCTCTGATTGTTTAACACAATCAGAAAGTGTTGTAGATCATTTGCTGGAAATTTATGTTCAAATTTTAGAAAGCCATGTCTGACGCACACAAAAATAAATGCGGATCTATACACACAATAAACAAAACCCAGCAAAGCCTTTCAGTGCTAATGAATGAACAGAAAGTCTTAATGCTTCCTTTGCTTCTCTCATTACAAGCTTCATTTTCTTCTCTTGTAACTAAACCAAAACTAAATTACTTTCTTTATTGCTGCAATACAACTTTGTCAGTCTGTGCTAATGTGTTTAATTATTTTAAAGCTAAAGTTTGGTACTGCATGTTTGACTAAAGACATGGTATTGTTTCATTTTTGTGTCTATATTTAGCTGCATAGCTGTGTGTAAAAGCATGAGTGCAAGAGCTTTCTTATCAATTCATTCCTCCCATAATGTCCCAGCCAAACATTCACAATAACACTTCCAAGGCCATCTCAGTTCTAGATAGTGGTGTAAATATGCATGTGGCATGGATGCCAGACATTTGTGTAAAACCTGATGGTCATGTTATCCAGCATGATTTGAGAAATTCTTGTGCTTCAATTGTTTCCATGATAGCTCAAATGTTTTATTTGTGTGTGTACACGTGTGATGTTTGATCTCCTTTAGCTGGAGAGTCAGTTTCGAGAGCTGCACAGCGAGCAACGAGAGACGGCCGTGGAGAACCTAAAACTCAAACAGTATAATGACGACTTGAGCCGTGAGCTGGAACACACCACCCAGGAGCTGAGCCTGGCCCAGGAGCAACTCATGCTGCTGCAGGATCAGTCCTCACGCCTGCACGAGGAGCGAGAGATGTGAGGATGTTATGAAATGTTAGGATGTTGGATGATAGGAAATCGGATAGATTAAAAGCCAAAGCTTATTGCGAAAATGCAAATAAGCAGAGATGTTTTCTTGACATTTGTAGTTTTGAGTAATCAAAAGACTACTACCTCATACATTTCTAATATACAGTATATATACAGTGTGTACAGTTGTAAAATTATTAAAACTATCAAAATTATTCAACCCCCATTGCAAATTGGGTTTATTTGCAACATTTACAGACTTCCAGCTGTTTGCAATGAACAAATCAAACAAAAGTAACTGAATTAGCTGTTAGCTGATAATAGTGTTTTTTTTCCCCCAAATTCAACTGAAAATGCAACTTTTAATGACTTCTGAAGTCTCAAAATCCCTCAAAATCCAATTGAATCCCTCATAACAGTACAAATCTGCAAAACAGATGTTTCGGGCTTCATTAGTTGCACCAGGTGTGCTTGAGCTAGAACACATGACGCATCTGAACTGGTTAGGTGTGTTAAGTGTCACGTTTGACTGCATGCTAGAAATATGGCAAAAGTCAAAAGAAAGGTCCAAAAACTTCACTTTTTTATTTATTTATTTATTTTTTTTGGAAATAGGCTCATTTTATGACTCCCCCAGAGTTAAACAATTGGGTTTTACCGTTTTCGAATCCATTCAGTCGATTTTCTGATATTTAGAAGAATATCAGTAACCAGGCAGTTTTTGGTCTCATTGACTTCCATAGTCTATTGAAGTCAATGAGACCAGAAACTGTCTGGTTACTGATATTCTTTTAAATATCAGAAAATCGGCTGAATGGATTCGAAAACGGTAACACTCGACTGTTTAACTCTGGGGGAGTCGTAAAATGAGCCTATTTCCAAAAAAAAATGGAGTATCACTTTCAGAGAATATATCATCGCTCTTCACAAACAAGGAACAGGATACAAAAAGATAGTGAATGCACTAAATGTTTCTAGAGAGACCATTGGAAGCATAGTTCACAAGTTCAAATAGTGGTTACACTACCTGGACGGGCAGAATAAGGAAGATATCTACGGCTGCAACCAGATTTCTGAGAAGGCAGGTTCATTTTTGTATATCAGGAAATCCTTGGAGAAAACATCATGCCGTCAGTGAGGAAGCTGAAGCTTGGGTGTCATTGGAGCTTGCAACAGGACAGTGATCACAAGCATACCTCAAATTCCACCAAGGCTTTGTTGCAGAAGAAGTCCTGGCAGATTCTACAGTGGCCATCACAGTCACCCCATTAAAAATCTGGTGGGATTTGAAGAAGGCGGTCTCAGCACCCAAACCCAATAATATTACTGAACTGGAGGCCATTGCTCATGAGGAATTATAGGCGAAGATTCCTCAGAAACGCTGCCAGACGCCGGTGTCTGGATATATACATCTCGTATCGTTTGATTTGCTCATTGTAAACAGCTGAAAGTCTGTACAAGTTGCCAATAAACCTGATTTGCAATGGGGGTTGAATAATTTTGTTTACAACTGTGTGTGTATGATTTATGCAGTAAAGTTAAATAATATATCACATTTTATTACAGTAGTGAAAATAAGATTTTTTACTTGTGTATTTATTTATGTAATGTTGGTTTCTCATAATGTCAGTTCAGTTAGCTGTTGTAAATGATCTCATTGTCATTAAAAGAGTTTTTGTTTACTACAGGGAGATTTATAGGGTTACAGAAAGCTTGCAAAGAGAAAGGGCAAGTCTTCTCAAGCAGCTTGATTTGCTAAGGTAAGAAATTACTATAAATGAAAAAGAAGGTCTTTTTGTTTGCTCCGAATTGACGTGTTCTATTTAATTCATCCTAGGGAAATGAACAAACACTTACGAGATGAAAGAGACATGTGCTATCAAGTAGGTTCATATAGACGTTATATAAGACATTGTACTGATCCTGCATTTTGACTATTTCAAGTCATTGTTTGCTGTCTCTCAGAAACCAAAGACTGCTGCTGCAAAACTCTCATGGACACAAAGGTCTGTGAATCACGCTGAGCGGAAGCAGTCATTCAAGAGGTAAGGCTGTGTGAAAATTGCATCTGTACACTCAACGGTACTCAAGATGAAAGGATACAGTGAATCTGCAAAATTAAAAAAAGATGAGAGTCTCCTGAGATAAAAGAACTAGTCATTTTAGACCCAAGTTAAATCAAAGATTATTGTAAAGACGTCAATAAGAAGAGGTTTTCTTGATATTTATAGTTAGAGTTATCAAAAACAGATAATACTGCATCTTGCTCATGTCATTTTGGTGAATAAATTTAAATATAGGTTGTTGTTGTTGTCTGCAGCGACGAGGATGAAGAAGCTCTGCCGCATTCTAAGCTGAAGATCGTGAGTGGCGTAAATGGGCACAGCATGAACCTGGAGGACATGATAGATGGGCGACCTCCTTCAAAACACCAGCTCCAGCGGATCATCTCAATCGAGGAGGACCCCCTCCCGCAACTCCTTCAGCAGGGTTATCAGGCCCAGCTTAGTGAATGGAGTGAAGATGAGGAGTTGGAGGAGGGCATTGATCTTCAGATGAGCAATATATACCCCACAACCAGCACTCCGACTTCTGTTTCACCCCCTCTAGGAGTCGCACAGACGCCCACCTCACCCAGGGGACAGCCTGTGGGCAAAGAGACAGTCCACTCGGTAAGAATATGACTTGATTGGTCAAAACCTTAGACATTTGTTGAGGTTTCAAAATGAGTACACTCTAAAAAAAAAAATAAAGGTTCTTTATTGGCATCAATGTTTCCATAAAGAATCTTTAACATCCATTTGATCTTTAAATTGCACAAAAAAGTTTCTATATAGTGGAAATTGGTTATTTAGATGAATAAATGTACCTTTATTTAACCAGTCAAGTCACTTAAGAACAAGTTCTTATTTTTAACAGCTTGGCGGGATAATTAAAATCTCCTTACAAACATGCATTGCAATACACACACATCAATGAAAATAAAATCTGCACATTTAATTTCGGATATTGGGTATAAAATATGGAATTTGGGTAAAATGGATCCTGCTAATAGAGGTCCTCTTCTATCTTTTTTTTTCCAGGATGAAGGGTCCAGTTTAGGTCCAGATCGCTTGTTTAAGATCGTTCTGGTTGGGAATTCCAGCGTGGGAAAAACGTCTCTTTTACGTCGCTTCTGTGATGACTGTTTCCACTCTGGTACATGTGCTACTGTAGGTCAGTGGCCTTTCCATTTACTTTATTTTTTCTAGTGTCTATAGGTGTTTTTTGATTTATTTAACCTAAATAGCTTAAATTAAAATTGTCAAAAAATGACGTACCCTCATATTGCCTGAAATCTATTTCTTTGGGTGTGAGTCCACAGCTTGCTTCATATCTTGTCGCCATGTTGTTGGGTCTGTTAATTCTCCACATTCAAATGACAGTGAGACTGTTAAAAGATATTTAATCTCACCGAACGAGGTTTCACTGACTCTTGATTTCATCCTTTAACACACTCGTGACTATTTCAAAATAAATATAGCACTAAGTATAGATGTCAGTAGAATTGTTTTTTTTATTGTGTCAATAATAATAAGTATTATTATTTCTATTTGTATCTCTTATATTCACCATGTATTTAATAATAATAATGTAAAAACATTAATATTCTGAAATATTACTATTTAAAATAACTGTTTTCTATTTAAATATATTTTAAAATGTAATTTATTCCTGTGATGGTAAAGCTAAATTTTAGCATCATTACTACAGTCTTCGGTGTCACATGATCCTTCAGAAATCATATGCTAATTTGGTGCTCAAGGAAAAATTCTTATTATCAGTGTTGAAAACTGTTGCTGCTTAATAGTTTTGTTGAAACAGGAAAATTTGGATGAATAGAAACTCCATTTATTTGATTTTTTTATCATGTTAAAGTCACTGTTTTGATCAATAAATGGGCCTTTCTGAATAAAAGTAATAATTTCTTTAACCTCAAACTTTAAAAAAGCTTTACAAAAAATCTATTTGGCTATACCATGATGCAGTAATACCACATTATTTTGGATATCTGCTATGATATTGATCGATTATCACATTCATGCATCATACTATTTACATGGTTCTTAAAACAATAACATGGAAATAATGTGTCTTAATGTGTCTCAATTTGCATGATTCCTATATTGATCTGGTTTTAAACATTTATCAATAACTTGGTATTGATTAAAACCTCAAATCATTTCCGTCTGCCCTTTAGTCAGGGTTGTGCGTGTGGTGCATCCTCTGGGAAGAAAAAACTGGGAACTAAAAAAGCATGAAGACATTAAATGTCAGACCCCCTTCCTCCTCTTTCAGACTGACTTCTTTCATGTGTGTGACGTGTGCAGGTATTGACTTCAGTGTGAAGACTTTAACAGTTGACAACAGCCAGATAGCCCTGCAAATGTGGGACACAGCTGGCCAGGAGAGGCAAGTGATATTTTCTAATAGAAACTAGTTTAATTACCAATAGTCATTATGAGAGGCCTAGTTGTTTGTTGATCGTGCTATTGTGTCTGCTAACTAAGAAAACGGATGAATGCAAAAGTTCCCTTGTGGGTTTCCTCCCTCAGGTATCGCAGCATCACTAAGCAGTTTTTTCGCAAGGCCGATGGTGTGGTAGTGGTGTATGACATCACTAGTGAGCAGACTTTCACAGCAGTGAGGCAGTGGCTGACCAGCGTGCAGGTGAGTGATTCATTTCCACTTTCTTTAGGAGTAAAAGACAAAATATATGCTATGTTGTACACATAAAGCTCCAACATGAAGTTTGTTTGAGATATTGATTGGATTTTTAACAAAATAATGCGGCAATGGTGTATTTTGTCCAATAAAATGCTCTCTAGTTATGAACATGCCTCTTCCTCTTAAATTATAAATACGTCCTACTTCTGACTAGTAATTGCAAAAACAAATTACAAATTACATTAGAAATTAGCAAAATTAACAAATTACATTAGAAAATATATTTAAAAAAAACATTTATTTGAAATTTTAATATCATTTCACAATATTACTGTTTTTTACTGTATTTTCCATAAAACAAATGCAGTATTGATAAGCTTGAGGAGCAAGAGACTCTTTAAAAAACATTACATATCCAACTTTTGAACAGTGTTGTATATCTTAACCAAAAAAACGTATTTCAAGTAAGCAAACGGTATTATCACAGCAGTTTTTAATAGTTATAATGGAATGGGGTTGTCATTTTTCATACTATAGGAGGGAGCAGGTGAGGACATTCCCATCATGCTCTTGGGGAATAAGACAGACCTAGACAGCGAGAGAGTAATTCCGCTGGGAACGGGAGAGAAACTAGCCAAGGTGAGTGAATCTGGGCCCTGGATTGGCACTAATGGATCACCATTAAACATATTAAGCATGGCACTCTTAAAAATGAACGAGTAAAAGAACAGGCTCAGAGTGTAGTTTGATGAGATATATGAAGTGGTTTCCTGTCAGTTACTGTTTTGTGTGCTCGGCAGACATTAAGAACCACACTGAATGACATAAGAATGACTCGGTATTCTTAACATCTTAAGTTATTCTGTTCACTCTTTCAGGACTTTCAATTGATCTTCTATGAGTGCAGTGCTTTTTCAAGTCACAATGTGACAGAGTCCATGATTCACATGGCAAGGTAAGAGTTTATGATAACACTTTATTTTACAGTGTTCCATGTACTTAATAACAGTAGATTATACATAATTACAAGCAACATTCTCTATTCCTAACTCTACCCTATAATTGTTGTTAGTTTATCAAATGTCTAATTTCTTTTAAAGTCAGATTATGGAAGCGTGTTTTTATGTTCCAGGTATATTCTGTGGTACACTTTGCAGTTTAGTCTGCATTTTTGCTCTCCACGTTGTCTGAATTTCCATGGTTTTTCTATGGAAATATACGCTAGATGGATGTATTTGTCATTTATACTCATGTTTTTTTGCATGACATGCTTGTTCTGAAAATGTAGAGCTCAAGGCTTGAAGAAGTTCAACATTTAAAAAATGCATCTCTATTCCACTGCCCTTGAACGCAAAAATGCACGTGGGAACCGGCCCCATAGACAGGAAATGACTGCCTGACAAACACAAAACAAACCACACATTGTTTCGTTTTTACATGTTTAGTGTCGGGTTTATCTGTAATCTATGATAGCACAATTATAGATCAGTGTAGTGGTCCTAGTCAAACAGTTTTATAGAAAAGATTGAAATATAAGAAATGTTGAAGAATTTCTGTCCATGCAAAACAAATACAGATTACACACTTGCATTGCATTAACACATGTTGAAATATATACTTCTACTCATGACTTTTTTAGTTGCTATGAAGTGAATTTTTAACAACATTTTAATGCCACAAGCCTTAGTTAACAAGCTTAAAATACAGTGATTAGTTATTTTTTAGCAGCTTGTGCTTTGCAGCTAACCATGTGTGTTATTGTTTTTATTATTACTGCAATACAATATAAATATTCAATTAAAAACAAGCAACTAACAGAAATAAGTTAAAATTATAAAAAATACATTTATAATTTTATTTTTTATTGAAAAAAAGAAAGAAATGTTAAAATCAAAATGATTTTAAAAAGTAAATAAAAAATGTAAGCATTTAAAAAAATGGGGGGAAAAAAACGCAAGACAAAAATATGAAAACTTAAACTTTGATAAAAACATTGATAATTACTATGATTATATATTGGTTCTGCTAATAATAAACTTCAGTAAGTGTATATACACAATTACAATTCTTAATACCTGGAAAAGTCAATTGCATATCCAACTGCAAAAATGATCGATTTTTTTTTTTCACCACTAAAGTTTTAGCCAGTTCATAATTCAGTTATTATTTTGTTGCATTTTATTGCACCTCATACGATGTGACACTTTTTTCCCTCTCTGCCAGAGTTCTGAAAGAACAAGAGGATAGAGAAAAAGAGAAAACTGTGTCGCTAGTAGACAACGCAGCTAAGAAGAAGTCCTGCTGCTAGTAGAAAGCCTTCCATAAACACCCACAGAAACCTTGGTGTTAATGCTGATCTGGTTTGTCTTGCTCTTATCTTATCTTCCTGTTTTCTCTAATGTCAGCATTTTTGTACGAACACTGTAGAGTTAAAAATGTTTGGTCTTTTTTTTTTTTTATAAACCAGTACCTCTTTACAGTGTGAAACGAATTGAGTTTTATGATAACAGTTAGATTTAGGGCTTTAGTGCACTATAGTATTGTACACTAGAATTCATCAAATGTGTCCCTATTAAGGTCATTTAAAACACCCGTCACACTATTGAAGTAAACAAAATTGTATTTTTGTATTGATTGTTGTTGTACTTTATCTTTTTAATATAAAGGTCTAAGAAAGTGTATTTTAAATGGGCAAAACAAGCTCCTACAGATGCTAGTTTGTTTACAGTCATTTGCACAAATGTATTATTTATTACTTATGTGATGGATTGAACATTTTGAATTATTACTTTATTATTCCTAGCAAGCAGACATGGAAAATGTTTCTCTATTTACTCTCACCAGCATGAATATTTTTAACACACTGCCATGAAGCAAGCAGGTGGTTTACATGAGGATTCGGTTTTTAACAGGGTTCAGTGTTGTTTTTTAACTCCATTAAACAATTGATCTATTGAAATAGATTTGGTCTAACATTGATTTGAGAACACTTTTTGATTGTATTTCATGTATTTTGCCAATAGTAATATGTCTGTATTTGTAATTTAATGTAGTCAGTGTTAAATCAGCGCATAAAGTCTCGCAGAATTTATTACTCTCACATTTATCGTTAATAAGTATTGCCTCACATTTTTAAGGAAGCATTAATTGTCCACCAGACAGTGGACTTATGCACATCTAAGATGAACAAAAAGGCTTATACTGTGTTTTATCAAGTCGTTCAGTTTTTCAGTAATCACAATATGAGTCTGCATGTGGATTCACACATTGATTCTCTATCACAGCTGGTCAGAATACACTAAATTTGAACACCATGTGAATGTTTTAGATGATTTCACGCTCATGAGGTCTTGTAAATGTTTCTGCTTTATTGTATACATGTGTAAATATTAAATAGAAATGTATTTTGAGTGAAATGTTGGAATAAAGAATACTATGTTTGCATTAATTCTAGTTTGTGCTTTCAAGGTAATGGCAAGAGGAGGCATTACATGCCAGCTAACAATGATACACTAAAACATAAGAATTCAGATATTGGAAAGGCGTTGTTCTGAAAGCTTAGCCTGAGGTTGAACTGGTTAAGCCGGTTTTACACGTTTAAATAAAGCATTTAAATGTTTAAAATGCGTAACCGTTTCATGTATTTATTTATTTTTTTCTTGGAAAATATTTTATTTATATATATATATATATATATATATATATATATATATATCTTTCAGATACTCTTTACATTGTGGAATGGTTTCCAAACTTTTCCTTTTTAAATAATACAAGTAGGCCTAATAGTTTATTTATTGATGTTATGCACAATGGCTATGTTCGATATAGCGTACTGTATCTTAGTATGCAGTGTATAATGTACACAGTATGGACATTTACTGTATTACCTAAAAAATCTGCAACATTTTCCAAAAAAAAAAAAAAATCCAAGTTGTTTGGAATACAAATGCAGTATTGCTGTATTTTTTTTTTAACTGAAAATACAGTTATTCTCCTGGCAAACCAAACAAGTCGGTCATTGCTTGGCCGTGATAATAAAAGGGCAGACTTTCTTTCAAAGCTTGAAAAGTTGCTGTCTCCCATTATTCACTGTCCCGAAAGCAACAAATACCAGAATCCATAACATTCTCTGAAGTATTCCAAAGGCTTGAAATGTTTGTGCTCTCTATACTAAATTAAATTTCAATAATAATTGAGTTGGGGTACAGATTGGAAGCAGTTGAGCTTTTATTTCAAAAATTGTAAGTGGTGGGTCATTACTTGTGCAGGAATTTGAAAGTATTGTGGCAACTGCTTTTCTTCCACCCACTAAGTCCTCTGTCGCTGACGTGTTCCTTCCTTTTTTGATGAGTTTGTGGTTGACTGAACACGAAATCTTCACGAGGATGAGCATTTGGTCCCCTGAAAAGGAAACAGCAAACGAGCTAAAAAAACTTAATTTTATAGATCTGGATTTTGCCAGAGAAAGCAGTAGCATCTCCGGCTTACATTATTGTATTTCATTGTTTTTACACTGGACAATGACAAATAATATGTTCTTTCGATATTTCTGACATCATGCTTGTTTACAAACAGTTAGAAAAGCGAACTGGTTGAGGTCTTAGCAAACAAAAGGTGATGATATACAACATGATGATGATATATAAACTTCATGGTAGTGACCTGTCTGTACAATTTTCTAGAATTCCTTTTTTTTACCCCTTGCATACTAACTGGATGTCAGACAGTTCTCTCATGGCTGCTCTATCATTCCCTCTGGGGGTGAAGAGATAGCATGGCTGCCCATCATTGTAGGCTACTGACAATTACAGCTGAAAACAAAACAATAACTTTGTTTAATATGGGAGCTGGCTAAGGCAAATAATCATCATATACATGACTGCTAAGCTATGTTTAGGCTATATTATAGTAAGCGGTGTGCAAAATTCCAAAACCAGTGTGTCTGTTTTTCGTAATATTTTCACGCCCCCTTGTGGACTACAAGTCGTACTTCATTTAGAGCCCAATCAAGTATTACTTTTACAGTCTATGAGTATCACACTGCATGTTAAATGACAAATGGCTTTTATTTTCTGCTTTACCATCCAACATCTTACATCAATACATAGATATTTTTCTTTCATTACAGCATTATGTCAACCTTTACAGACAGTCAAGGATGCGTTCAATATGGCATGCTATTACACCTAAACATTTTACTTGGCTTTATTATTATTCGTTTTAAGCAATGTAATTAACCATTATCTTGACAGATGCTGAAATCATGGCAGAATTATCATTTTAAAACATTTTTAACATGTAAACCTCAAATTTCAGTAACACTCTATCAGACCTAATTATGAACAATACATATTAAAAAAGGACAATGTGCTTTGCAAGTGAACTGAATGTCTTTGGTGAGGACTTGAACAGTATAATCAGCTGTGACACAGGGGTCACAGATGTACCGGGACGGGACGGATCCCAGTCGTCGCCTTGGCAAAGACTCTAATAAGAGCACAGGTGAAGAGCAGCATGCCATCTGAGTCCAGCTCATCAAGATCTCACCACAGACAGAGCCAACATTCCACATGGCATATGTTTTGATATGTATAAATTGTGTGCTGTTTCTCTATCTATACAAGTGGAAATGTAATTATCACACACCTAGAATCATAATTAACACTAACACTACATATTGCAATCTCATAAAGCAAATGCACAATTTCATCACATCACCGTATTGCAAACTCACGTACGGCTGTTAATTTCCATTATTAGCTTTTGATTCATTTTCCTCTGATCTTCATGTAGGCGAAAACATTTGTAGGTTTAAAACTGTCATTGATGCCTCAAATCTTATTTTAATATGGATGGGTCATTCTCAGGAAATGATGTACGCATGATGCACTACATATTAGGATACAGAACTTAATGATTTTATATTATATAAAAAAAATATATACTTTTAATCAATGTGTGTAATGCACAGAACTCATAGGTGTGTAATGCACAGAATTTTTAAAATAATTTTTTTTTTGCAACATGCAAATTGCCATGCAATTCTATTCCAATTTGTATGTCCATGCATCATAATGTAGATTCTAAAAAAAAAAAAAATAAGTAAAACAAAATTGTCCTTTTGTTGATCAAATTTGCACAGAAAAATTATGCTATGACAGACTAAATAGATTTTAACGTTGTAAAAATGTTTCTTAAAATTCTCTTACATTCTTTATCAATATTTTTTATGGTCACATTTATGTAGGGTACGTACACTCGCCTAAAGGATTATTAGGAACGCCTGTTTAATTTATCATTAATGAAATTATCTAATCAACCAATCGCATGGCAGTTGCTTCAATGCATTTAGGGGTGTGGTCCTGGTCAAGACAATCTCCTGAACTCCAAACTGAATGTCAGAATGTGAAAGAAAGGTGATTTAAGCAATTTTGAGCGGGGCATGGTTGTTGGTGCCAGACAGGCCGGTCTGAGTATTTCATCTGCTCAGTTACTGGGATTTTCACACACAACCATTTCTATGATTTACAAAGAATGGTGTGAAAAGGGAAAAACATCCAGTATGCGGCAGTCTTGTGACAATGACAATGAGTTCAGTGTACTAAAATGGCCCCCACAGTCAGCAGATCTTAACCCAATAGAGCATCTTTGGGATGTGGTGGAACGGGAGCTTTGTGACCTGGATGTGCATCCAACAAATTTCCAAGTGCAAAATGCTATCCTATCAATATGGGCCAACATTTCTAAAGAATGCTTTCTGCATCTTATTTGAATCAATGCCACGTACAATTAAGGCAGTTCTGAAGGCGAAAAGGGGTCAAACACAGTTTTAGTGTTCCTAATAATACTTTAGGTGAGTGTATATTGGCTTCGTAAAGCTCAATAGTTGTTTTTGCAAACCAAGTGGGGAAAAAAAATCATAGTTTTTAATACTCTAGCTTTACAGAAAAAAAAGTTCTAAGCACAAAGCAAAAAAGAAATGCTGCCTTTAAAAAATGGTCAATGATATTTAACTAAAAATCGGACATTTTCGAACACAAATGGCCTCGTTTCCCGAGAATGACCTGGATTTTGTCAAAACCTGATCTTAAATCTACATAACAACGTATCCTACTGCAATAAAGTTGTAAAATTTTGTTACAATAAATTATTACTACAGGTTTGTAAGTGTTAATTAAACTATGTATGCAAGTTTAATATGTTAAACTTTGCAAGTCTGGGATGCACACCTTCACCATGAACTGAAACTCCTTATATAAAAAGCAGAGTAACCATAAACTAACACTTAACATTCATAAGCCCATGACATTCTTTTCTTTGCAGTGGGGTGCAGTCATAGTCGGCCCCTGAACAGTCGGAGAGATGGCGTACTAGTGCAGGCTACAGTTGGCGAAGGCAAGGACGCTATTGCTAGAAGTGCCACCCCGCTCCAAAATACAGTGGCAAGACTCCCAGGAATAACGTATGTCCTGGTCTTTCTCTCTGTGTTGCTGTAGCTATGTTCTGGAGCGGCTCCTGGTTCTCTGAATGCTGTCAAGAACCGTCTCTCACCTCTGCTGGATGCTTAGCGCATCTTATAGTCGTGAGCGATAGCGGCTTCACATAGCTGACCTTTAAAGTCCAGCTCAAAGGTAAAGTCCAGATCACGCTGGATAGAAAACAGGAAGAAGCAGAAACGTTAAATTGTACAATCATTATAACAATTTGATTAAAGAAAGTTTAACTGAATAATACAACAATGTGCCTGAACACACCTCGTTTTCAGAACAACACATCGATGAATTGCAAAAGCCAGTTATAATGTCAGAATTACGAGATATAAACTAGCAATAGTGAGTTGTAAAGTCAGACATTTTTTCGTTTTTTTTTCCTCGCAATTACGAGTTAAAATCTTGCAATTCTGACTTTTTTTCCCCTCGAAATTGCCAGTTTAAATCCAATGGGAACTTGTATCCACCACAGAAAAAAAAGGTAATTGCGGCTTTTTATCTCACAATTCTGACTTTGTTTCTCGCAATTGCGAGTTTATATCTCGCAATTCTGACTTTTGCGACACAATTGCGAGAAAAAAAGTCAGAACTGTGAGATACAAAGTTGAAATTATCTTTTAAATTGTTTTATTCCGTGGCGGAAAGAGGCTTATACCGTAATTCTGACTGACTGATTTTTTTTTCTTACAATTGCAGTTACGAAATATGAGAGTACAATATGAGTTTATATCTCGTATTTTCTTTTGTCAAATCAACTTTATAATAATTTATTTAGTTGAGATAACTTATTATTTTGAGTTTCTGATAATTAAATTAATCTCCGTTGTATTAACTCACTTTTTCCAGTTCAAATCAACTTAAAATTTTAAGGCAACCCAGGTTACATACTTTTTTAAGTTAAACCAACAATATTTTTTACAGTGTAGTAATCACAACATTTTTTTCTTTTGTCAAATCTACTTAAATAATTTATTTAGTTCAGATAACATATAATTTTGAGTTTCTGATGATTAAATCATTCCTTCATTGTATTAACTCACTTTTTCCAGTTCAATGAACTTAAAATTTTAAGGCAACCAGGTTACTTACTTTTTTAAGTTAAACCAACAATCTTTTTTTACAGTGTACCGACCTCAAACTGTTAAACAGAAGTTTATTTAAAGAGTTTGGAAAGCATGTTTTGAGTAGTACTTTTATTGATCAAAGAAAGAGAGAAAGCATATTAGTAATGGCACATACCACGTTCTTCTCGTTTGGCTTCATGCTGACGGTGCCGACTATCTCCTCTCCTCTTTTCACAGTCAAATACTCCTCCAGATAAAACACTGTCTGCTTCCAGTGTGTGTATGGGGCATCTGGTGCTAGAGTGGAGTAAACAGAAGAGAACATAGATAACATTAAATAAATAAAAGGCTATATCACACATTATTACGGCCTTATTGAGTCTCTGAAACACTTCCTTCTGATTGGTTGCTGCATTTTATAGGGCAAATAGTTTATATAATGGCCGTCTTTTTTTATCATATATAATTCAAACTTCAATCAATAAATCTATATTTCATGTTAGCATATTTATTTGCTAAGCAGCCATGCAAAAGGTTAATATTACAAAATATCAGGGTCCTGATCATCCTGTCTTTATTTTGCAATAGACCTGACATTTTAACAATAGGCTACCAGTGAATTGTGTACAAACCCTGACAAATTCACACATTAAGATTGAGCTGCCTCCCACACATAAATCTGTGTAAGCCTGGTACTTATTTCAAGATTGCTGCCAAATAAGATGCAAATGTTTGTGTGTGTGCATTTGAGAGAGGAAGAAAGCACTCTAAAGGAGTCTATGTGTTAGTTTTCTTGCCAGCTGAAAGATTATTGTGCTTCCGTTCCACCCTAGAGGAAACGTCAGTATGCTGACTGAGCAATACGCCGAGCCTGAGAGGTCAATAGAACTTAAAGGAGTAGTTCACTGAAAAAAAAAAAAAAAAAAAAAAAAAAAAAAAAAAAAAAAACTTTTGCTGATAATTTACTCACCCCCATGTCATCCAAATATCCATATCATATAATTCGAAAAGAAATTAAGGTTTTTGATGAAAACATTTCAGGATTTTTCTCCATATAATGGACTTCAATGGGAACCAAACGGTTCAAGGTCCAAAAGACAGTTCAGTGCAAACTGATGAAAGGGCTTTAAACGACACCAGACAATGAATAACGGTCTTATCAAGCGAGTTGACTCTGCAAAAGATTTGTTCATTTTGATGAACGAGTTCAAATAGGAGAGTCACGAATGCGCATCACAATGCTAAATTGTGATGAACAAATAAGTAATAATGAACATGTATAGGCTATTTTATTTGTTATAGAGAGTAAAATATGTGTTTATGTAACTATATTTCAGGTTTTCTTTATCCTTGGTGCCTGTTTTGGTTTAAAGCAAAGGCTTTGGCATTGCTGTTTCACAACTGAGACACTAGAGGGCAGACATCAACCACACACTCAAAGAACACATTCACATACACCACCGTGGCCATAGAAGTTTTGAAGCACAACACCTGTGGAGAAGCCAGTCTTTTTATGACACTTGGTGAATTCTATATTAAAGTAGGTGACCAAAGCATGGACGTAATCGTTCCTCTGGATCTGCAGACAGAAGGAAGAGGTGAAGGACAGTTCCTCTGGTTTCACTGTGTAGATGTCCACTTCCTGAGAAAAGGCAAGCAAAGCTTAAGTTGCTATTTCATGGTCAAAAGGGCCTAATAATGTTCTCAGTTGTGTTTCTTTGACGTATCAACTATGTTTAAAGACAATTTAAGCAAAAAATAAATAAATAAATAAAAATAAAATAATAATACCTATAAGATTTATATGGTTAGCATAACAGATGAGAATGATAATTTAAGTAGGCTAGTTCGATGTTGTAGCCTACATCTGATTGCGACTTCCTGAATCTCTTTGCTGTCTCACAATTCTGACGTTTTTTCGCACAATTCTTACATAGAGTCGTTTCCACCGAGTTATGAGATATAAACTCGCAATTGCGAGTTATAAAGTCTTAAAGGGATAGTTCACTTTGAAATTATTTTTTGATACGTTTTAGCTTACCTCAAGGGCATCCAAGATGTAGGTGTCTTTGTTTCCACAGCATTTTCAATTTTGACATTTTCGGTCAAACTGGTGTTGTCTGTCAGTCATATAATGCAGTTTTAGGGGGTCCACCTCAAAGAGCATGATTTAAACATGATTTAATGACTTGTGAATATAAGTACACACTGATGGCCTAAGACACGAAACAAGCGGTTTGTGTGAGAAAACGAACAGTATTTATATAGTTTTTTTTTTTACCTCTTGTTAACAGCCGTCGAACTGATCTGAATCAGATGTCCAACTGAACCGAACTGAACCGTCTCCAGACGTTACGCCGGAAGTGATCTCTCGCGCGTCTACGTCACGCATTGTTTTGTTTTACCTTTCACTAAACATATTTAGATATATAGAAATCGTCTTCCATTGCAGTTTCACGTATATCTAAATATGTTTAGTGAAAGGTAAAACTTCCGAAATCTCCGTGTAAACAATGCGTGATGTAGACGCGCGAGAGATCACTTCCGGCGTAATGTCTGGACTCTGGAGACGGTTCAGTTCGGTTCAGTTGGACATCTGATTCAGATCAGTTCGACGGCTGTTAACAAGAGGCAAAAACTATATAAATACTGTTCGTTTTCTCACACAAACCGCTCGTTTCGTGTCTACGAGTCATTAAATCATGTTTAATTTTGACTTCTCTGTGCATGCTCTTTGAGGTGGACCCCTAAAACTGCATTATATGACTGACGGACAACAAAAATGTCAAAATTGAAAATACTGTGGAAACAAAGACACCTACATCTTGGATGCCCTTGAGGTAAGCTAAAACATATCAAAAATTAATTTCAAAGTGAACTATCCCTTTAATAGTGAGATATAATTTTGCAATTCTGAGGGCAAAAAAAGAAGTAATCTTACAATACGAATTTAGTTTTTTTGCAACTCAAAGTTCAATAATTCTGAGAAAAAAAAAGTCATATTTGTGAGATGTAAACAGACTTTTTTTTCTCAGAATTGTAAGACATAAACTCACAATTGTGAGTCCTAACCGCAAAATATAATTTTGGAATCAAAAAAAATAATAATTTATAATCATAATTGTGAGATAATGATTATTGCATGGCGAAAACAAGCTTCCATTCATTTCTTTTTCCTGTGGGAGAGAAAAAATCCTCCAGCTTGATCTCTTATTCTCTCTCTATCTCTGAGTTCTTCTGAAATGTCATACTGTACTGGTAGCATTTCAGTAATTACGTTAGGATGTTATTACTGCTATTGGATCAGTACGTTCTGAGCGCTATTTCAGACTCCATCATTCTCGACAGTAAACTGAGCCCTGCCTCTCTGTCTGACCACTGATATATTTGCCTGAAAATCAACAGGAAACTGTTCTTTTCTCTCTCTCTTTGTGGTTTCCTCTCACTCTCACCTCCATTAGACATCAGGCTTCCCATTTGTAAATGTGTCCGATCTACTTTAGATTCAGTTATAAAGCACAGTTTGAAATGGAGCTTTAATCACTGTATCAAACAAAGCGATAGATGAGGTCTGTGTAAGTTCGTGCTTCACACTTTCAGCACTTAATTTAAGTGCCATATCCATTATCCCCCCGCTTTGCTTCATTGGGCAGATCTGATCTTTATAAGTTACTTTATCTAAACTTTTAAAAAAAGATGGATGTGAGTATAAGGACAAAATATCATGATTTAATTTCCACATGTAATAAGAGGAAAGGTCAGTTCAGGACAATTAAGTAGAAAAATAAAGTGGCATACAATGGCTCTAAATGGTATTAGGACAATTAAGGGAAATTAATGTACAGACAATGATTGACAATGGTATATATAACATTCTTAAATCCCTTTATTTAGTCCTTTACATATCAAATTGTTTTCCAGCTTTGATTCAATTGGATTAGTTGTGACAGAACTGCTACATTCATATCTGGGAAAAGCTGAAAAGCCTTTTGTTTCAAATATATTTATTGCATATTAGAGAGGTTTGCAGATGCATTTCATCTGTGGAGCCATAAACTTTCCAGGCTTGATGAATCTGATTCAACCAATGATCATCTCATCAGCACCTTCTCTAGTGGTTTATAATGAAATGAAATTGCATTTCAACGGATCATTATGTAACTGTCACACTGAGTGATGCAGCTAATGATCAGTTACACACTGCTGCTGTATTCTCTGTGGATCTTTATCTTCTTGTCTATGTGTGAGAAACACGCACATACATGATTTCTTTAGAAGTGTTTTAATGGCTGACCTTGATCAGGCAGGCGTTGGATACCATTTGCTTTGAGTCCACGATGTCCACCAGTGGTTCTTTCATTGCTACGTTCCTGATGCAGGTCATGTCAAAACCATAGACGTTCTCCCACCCTGCTCAAACATAGAGACATTCGATTTTTAATAAACAGAGCATAACTACAGAGTATATCTACATGAATGTGAAATAAGCACTCTTCATGTCTCAAAATGTATCAGATTTTCAATTTTTAGTGCAAGAAATATGCACTGGAGAACATATTAGCATAAACTATCCAATGATTTTCTCTTGCTTACTTTAACAGTTTGAAGAAAATCTTCCTGAACAAGTCTGATCTTATTGAAGCTACACTATGTAACTTCATTCTTTATATATATATATATATATATATATATTAGGGCTGTGCAAAAATTAATTGCGATTAATCGCATCCAAAATAAAAGTGTTTTTACATAATATATTTGTGTGTGCTGTATATAATTATTTTGTATATATAAATACCTATGCATGCATGTATATATTTAAGAATTATTTGTGCTTAAATTCTGTATATATATATAATACATAATATATATTATATAAATATAAATATTTTATATATGAATAACACATTTTCTTAAATATATACATGCATTTGTATGTATTTATATATACAAAATAATTATATACAGCACACACAAATATATTATGTAAACACAGACTTTTATTTTGGATGCGATTAATCGCAGCGATTAATCGCAATTAATTTTAGCACAGCCCTAATATATATATATATATATATACATATATTTCCCTACATTTTGGACAAGTGCTGCCTAGACTTCTTTCAAAAACATAACAAAAAAAAAAAAAGATTAATTCTAACTCCAAATGTCTGAAAGGTAGTGTATAAACTATAAATCGAACATATTTAGTTTGTTATAGTAAATGTTTGATAAGCTTTTTACATATATAGTATATAATTTAACTAGTCTTTTTTTTGGGCAGGAAAATCAAAGTCAATATAACAAGAAGATAAATTTACTTGAGAAATAACACGGCATAAGATTACTGCTTTCATAGATTGTAACTTTTATCTCAAGTAGGCTATATTTTATCTTACTATATTGGCAGATTTTGCCCCATTTGTTTTCTTTTTATGCTTAAAGTGCCCCTTTTACACTATTTTAAAGTTTCCTGATGTTGTTTTGGAGTCTCCTACAACATGTTTACATGCATCAAAGGTCAAACAACTGTTTAATTTTCTCATAATATACATTTGCACATCACCACATTTTCAAAGATTCTCAAACGACTCATCAGATTAATCAATCTCTATGAATCCTTCCTTTCCACAAGCTACTCTGCCTTGATTGGCCAGACAGCTCAGTCTGTTGTGATTGCTCTACAATGTACATGTACAATGTACGCTCATTGCCAAAACAACGTAAGCTCTGCTTGTACTTAGGCTTACTACACAGTAAACTAAACACAGTATTTAACCATACACAATTTTACCCTATCAATGCGAGCGCAAGTATTCGTTAATGTATTGGTATACATTCGAAGTATATACAGCAAGCCTAGTGTATGTGTGTTCCTGCCCATTGCTGCACTTTTTGTTCAATGGTCTTTTAAACACTGAAAACAATAATTTTAAAAGCAGGTTTATGAGAGCAATGTGAAAAGTAGCACTTAATCATGCCGTCTCTCTCTCTCTCTCTCTCTCTCTCTCTCTCTCTCTCTCTCTCTCTCTCTCTCTCTCTCTCTCTCTCTCTCTCTCTCTCTCTCTCTCTCTCTCTGCGCATGTGCGAGTGTGGATGAGCGAGTTGAGCGTGGCTGTGGGAGCGAGTGTGCAGGTGTGTTTTTTCAAACTTTTTCTATCTTTTCCTTTACTAGAATTTGTTTGTAGAGTTTCTAAGTAAAGGTTGTTGTTTTGTGCGGCGCGCCGTTTTTCCGGGGTTCGGAATTATGGCGAGCGCCGTTTCAGGAGTGTTTGAGTCTCTCACGCGGCGCAATGGTGTGAAAGTTGCGTCAACGCTGAAAATAGAAGAGGTTTGTTTAGCGGCAGGAGAAGTGGTAGGTTATGACTCTGTGGTGTCGGCTTCTAGAATGAATAATGCCATGTTTATGAGCTCAGTGGATAAAGCCAATGAATTGGTGGAGCGTGGGTTAGTGATTAATGGTGTTTTTACAGCCGTGCTTCCGCTTTCAGTGCCGACGAAAAGAGTAACGTTGTCGAATGTGCCCCCTTTCGTGAAAGATGAGTTCTTAGTAAACATGCTATCTCGCTATGGAAAATTGGTTTCACCAATCAAAAAGATTCCACTTGGAAATGTGAATCCACTCTTGAAGCATGTTGTTTCCTTTAGGAGATGCATTTATGGTTCTAAAGGATAATGCTGAACTAGAAGTATCATTTAATTTTCGAATGGGTGATTTTGATTACTTGATTTATGCAACAACGGATAAAATGAGATGTTTTGGATGTGGTAGAGTAGGACATTTGGTGCGTACATGCCCAGATAAAGGTGAAAATGATGGGTTGACCACAGGTGAAGAGGTTCGACCACAGACATCTGCAGAAGCTGTGGAGCAGTGGCGTAGCCAGGGGAGGGGCCATGGGGGCACTGGCCCCTCCTGAAAACTGATTGGCCCCCCAGTGTGCCCCCACCCTTCTAATTGTCTGTCACTCAAAAATTCAAATCATAATCTTTCAGCTTGTAGTAGAATAATTCATGATTCCGCGTCGCGCGATGCTTCTCAAAACCACACGGTAAGTTGATATATTTTATACAGCTTATTATTTTTAAGGAAAGACGATGTGTATTCACCCTGCTGAGGGGAATGTGCTAAAGCCTGGAGTGGAGCGAAAGCACGTTCCTCTCTCCACTCTAAGCATTCTGTAATCACTTCGCTCATGGTCCACTCCGGTTTTTCAATTCCCGCTCACGGAAAAACTGCTCCATGTTGTTCACTCAATTAGTCTTAGATTTTGAGAAGTGCATGTCAGGCTACTGCTCGCTCGTTTGCTGCGGTCGTATGATAGAAAACAGAACGCGGGTCAATATTGGTCGTTTCTCAATACCAAGAACGCAAACTTCGGAGTACGAACTCCCGAGGACGAGAGGACGCGAGTCCGGTCATTCTGCTAATGGAATAGCGCGTTCTTGATCGCGTCACTCAGCATGCGGCTACTCCGGTATAAAACACAACTTTGCTTCTTTTCATCAACAATAAAACGAAATACATATAAAACAGCACTCTGCCTCATTTCATTTATAAATGGACATATTATCATGAACAGATTAATGGCCACAAAAATGTGGTTCAGGTAACCTTATCTCACATTGACTATCTTCACTGCATATATTTATAACACGAAACCCTGCTTCTTTTTGTTTTCATTTTAAAAATGTGAAACATTATTGATCATTAAAACTGACATTTAACAAACAGACATGTATCGTTTTATTGTATTACACACAGTGAAGAGAATGTATAGTAAAAACATACACATATAAAGAATATTTTATATATTTTAGAATATATAAAATTACACAACCCTGTCTCTTTTGTTAAATGTCAGTTTTAATGATAATATCCCATTCAACAGTATAAGTAGGCTAATAGGTAGGCTATAATAAGCTACAATGAGAAATAAAGTAAACAATTCAGTTAAACATAAGTCAGCTCTCTAATGGGTTACAAAGTTAAAGTTAAATAGCCTAAAAGTTAAATATATAAAGTTATGAAACTTCACTTTTCCCTCAGCCAGTTAGCATTGTTTGGTCTTATAAGATAAATTAAAACATGCACTGAAAAGTTATGTAGATGGTTGATTAGGCCTATTTGTCAAGATAAGTAATTGTTATTCATAGATTAAAATAGCTTTTAAATTACGCAAACTGGCAATATTAGATCGGTTTAAAACATCTCTCCTTTAAACGCTATTGGTTTCGACTATTTAAATAAAGTTACAGGAATATGACTTGGCCTGAAAAAAAAAAAAAATCAGTCAAAAGAATTTTTTTTATTTAATCCCTGCATCCAGAAACATTCTCAAATAAAAAAATATAAAAAAGATAATTAAATAAAAATGCATGATTAAATAGCAAAATAAATAATTAATACTACTGGATAATTAAGTCACTGTTTCTATGATCCACATATATTACATTAAACTAAATCATACCTTTTTGAAAAAGTAGCTATCTAACAAAGTATTATATGTGATATTTTACAATCAATATGCTCAAGACTAATTAGCCTTCCTCGAAATAAGCAGATTTGGTCTATTCATCAATGCAAATTTACTGCAACTGTTGAAATGCAAATTGAATAGGATGTGGGGAAAAAGATGTATACAATTTTATTACAGTTTTATGAATTCTTTAATTGAGTATTTATTATATGAATGATTAATATAATTATGCATTCATATAAATAAGGCTGTTCTATTATTATTTGTGAGTTGGACACTAATACATTGGATTATTTTATTTATTACAGTTTTTCTATCACTTTTGTAAAGTGAAAAGTTAATATAAATTGTATTTTATTGTTTTGATTTAGAGCGGTAAATAACTGCTATTAAAAGATAACAGGGTATCACTGTTTATTGCTGATTTTAAAGCTTACTGAACTTGAAATTATTTGGATATCTACAGTTCTACATAAATACACAACATAAGAATGGCCCCTCTGTAATAATTGTGGCCCCTCTTGTGCCCCCCAGTTGAAAAAATCCTAGAATCGCCCCTGCTGTGGAGGGTTCCAAGGCTAGTGTGAGTGTTTCAAAGGTAGTAGAAAAAGAGCCAGACGTGGTTGGGGTTGTTGATAGGAGTGTGTCTGAGATTAAAGACTCTAGACATTCTGTGTCTGAAGAACCAATGGAAGAAATGGCTGCAGCTGTAGAAGGTGAAATGCATGGTGATAAAATCATCTGAAGTGGTTCCTGATGATTCTCTCACAGAAAAAGTGAATTCACAGTCTTTTAAAGTGCCTTTGAAAAGAAAGATGAAGGGTCATGGTAGCGTGAAGTTGGTGAAAAAAGCAGGTACAACGGAGATGTCAAATGGAGAGGAAGATGAAACTGATGAAGATTCATCTGGTTCAAGTAGTGTTTATTCTCAGTCGGATTATGGGTTTCGAGGTTATGATGTTCAAAATATTAAACAGTTTTTGGGAATTACAAAAAATAAGCGGAACGTAAATGCTGAAAATTATTTCCCGAATGCTCAGTTGTTTGTGGAAAGGTCACGTGCTTTAATGAGCGAGGGGTGTTTTACTGATAGAGAGGTGTACCGACTGAAGAAAATTGTGAGAAAAGTTAGCATGGAAGTAGGAAGCAATGATGGTGTTTAAAAAATCGGATTCCATGGTCCCTGTTGCGATGCTGGTATGGGGCTTTTTGTTGTGGTTTATATTAGCAAGCATGAGTAACATCAATATTGCATCCCTGAATGTGAATGGTGCAAGGGATAGCAAAAAAAGAGCGGAGATTTTTGAGTTGGCTATACAAAAAAAGTTTGATGTTGTGTTACTTCAGGAAACCCATAGCGACTTAAAAAATGAAGTCAATTGGGCCATGGAATGGGATGGCCTTGCCGTTCTGAGTCATCATAATTCACTTAGCGCAGGAGTTGCTGTTCTTTTCTCAAAAAATTTCACCCGTTTCTTACGAAGTGGATGAGATTCTAAAAGGAAGAATTTTAAAAATTAGAGCTGTTGTTGAGGATAAAGTGTTTGTTTTGATGTGTGTATATGCTCCTACTGCAACTACAGATAGAATAGTTTTTTTAGATTCTTTATGTTTGGCTTTACAAGAGGTTTCAAATGATGATATTTTAATTCTTGGTGGTGATTTTAATTGTACTGAAAAAAATATTGATAGAAATCACATTGAACCTCACTTGTTGTCACGTAAAAGGCTTATCCAACTCATTAACACACACGAACTTAGTGATGTATGGAGAACATTTCATCACAATTGTAGACAATATACATGGACTCGTGTTCGAGATAAGATTGTGTCTTTAGCAAGGTTGGACAGAATATATTGTTATAGTCATCAGAGTAATGTTTTTAGAAGTTGTAATATTTTTCCAGTTTCATTCTCTGATCACTGTATGGTTCATTGTGCTGTTTTCCCTGAACTTTGTAAAACCACAGAGTGCATACTGGCACTTTAATAATGCTCTTCTAAATGATAAAGATTTTAAAGATATTTTAGAATTTTTTTGGAAGGATTTTAGAGACTCAAAGTCAACATTTAGCTCATTACAACAATGGTGGGACTATGGAAAGGCCCAAATTAAACAGTTAAGTCAACAGTACACAAAAAATATTACTGCAAATATAGATAGGTCCATGAAAGTTTTAGAAATGGAAATTGTACAGTTGCAAGAGCAATTAGAAACTAATGGACAATGGAATGTTATGAGGGATATTTCGGAGAAAAAATCTAAGTTGAATGATTTGTTGGAGACAAAAGCAAAAGGGGCTTTGATAAGGTCACGTTTTTTAAATGTTGACCAAATGGATGTACCATCTAAGTTCTTTTTTGGCCTGGAGAAGAAGAATGGTCAAAAACGTTTTTTTCATTCATTGAGATCCGACTGGGAGAATGTTGACTGTTGTTAATGAAATACGCAAACGAATTGTTAGTTTTTATAAAGAGTTGTATAAATGTGAGTTAAAAGATGAACAAAACATAAGTAATTCTTTTTTTAAAGAACTACCCCAAGTTTCTATTGAGTCTAATGGGGATATTAGTGGAGAGCTACGTTTGGAGGAGCTGGAAAAAGCACTCCAGAGTATGGCACTGGGAAAGGCCCCAGGTATAGTTGGGCTCACTGTCGAGTTTTTTAAAGCTTTCTGGTCCGTGGTGGGGGAAGATTTGCTCGAGGTTTTAAATGACAGTTTTACAAATGGTAATTTGCCTTTGTCTAAAATGAAAGGTTTTGATGTTGGCCTAATCTCTTTAGATCAGGAGAAGGCCTTCGATAGGGTGGAACATCAATATCTTTTAAAAACTCTGGAGGCTTTTGGTTTTACTAAAGAGTTTGTGGGAAAAATTAAGATTTTATATAATGACATTGAAAGTATCCTTAAGGTTAACGGTGGCTTATGTGCTCCTTTTAAAGTGGAAAGAGGTGTAAGACAAGGCTGTCCTTTGTCAGGTATGTTGTACTCTATTGCAATAGAGCCTCTTTTATGCAAGATTAGAGAAAATATAAAAGGTGTAAGTTTGCCTTTTTCAGGTAAAACTGTTTCACTATCAGCGTATGCTGACGATGTAGTGGTCTTAGTTAGTGACCAAAAGGACATTGATACTGTGGTCAATATTTTAAATGATTTTAAAGAAATTTCTTCTGCTAAGGTAAATTGGGCCAAAAGTGAAGCGATTTTGGTTGGAAATTGGTCACAGGGCATACCGAAGCTCCCACACGACTTAAGTTGGTCTACGGGAGGGTTTAAATATCTGGGTGTATTCCTGGGCGATGCTTCTACTGTTAAAAAAAATTGGGATGATGCTTTTGAAAAAGTAAAAGGAAGATTGAATAAATGGAAGTGGTTGATTCCAAAGATGTCGTACAGGGGACGCACTCTAATTATTAACAATCTTGCAGCTTCTACTTTGTGGCACCGTTTAGCGTGTGGACCCTCCTCTGAGTTTACTCTCTGAGATTCAGAAGGCTTTGGTTGATTTTTTTCTGGGAAAGATTGCACTGGGTATCCCAAAGTGTACTTTTTTATCCAAAGATGAAGGAGGGCAGGGTCTTATAAATGTGCAAAGTAGAGTTGCAGATTTCCGAATGCGTTTCATACACAGGCTTTTTTTATGGTTCATCCACTTCAATTTGGAAGGTTGTTGCTTGTGAGATTTTGAAGGAAATGGGAGAGTTAGGTTTTGGTAAATCTCTCTTTTTGATGCATCTCCCAAAGATGAATGTATTGAAGGCACCAATTTTTTATCAGAACATTTTTAAAGTCTGGGATTTGTTTGATGTGAAAAAAGTTCAAAAGTCAAGCTTGTTCTGGTTACTTCAAGAACCACTGATTTATGGAACCCGTTTTGAAAATGTGGTGAACAGTTCTCATTTTCCTGCAAACACTGGACAATTAATTAAAGCAGGAATTACAACATTGGGACATTTAGTAAATGTTGCAGGACCGGATTTGGACAATGTTGAGATGACAGCAGAAAAATTGGGAGTTAAATCTCTAAGGGTGATTCGTCAACTTTTATTGAAGTGGAGGTCAGTTCTTGAAGAAGAGGAGTTGAAAACCATCAAAGACTTTTGTGGAGGTGTAATAAGCCCAAAGGAGGATGACCCTTTCCATACTTTAAGACTGTCACCAAAAATGGATGAGTATGAATGTATTTTTTTGGAAAAGAAAGATGTTTTTTTCAGTGTTGATTCTTTTAATGCGAAAGATAACAATTGTGTGAAAGTTTTTAACAGGAAAGTTTTATATAATAGGAGCGATACACCTTGGCGTAATGTCATTGGTCTTAGTAGAGATTTTAGACCGCAATGGAGAGCATATAAGCCACCGTTACCTAAGAGAGCGGGTGACATACAGTGGAGGCTATTACATGGAGTTATAGCTGTGAATGCTTTTATTTCTGTAATAAACCCAGAGATTAGTTCTGATTGTCCTTTTTGCTTGCAGAGAGAAACCGTTTTTCATGCTTTTATGTATTGTGATAGATTAAGACCTTTATTTATTGTTGTAGAGTCTTTTTTTAAGGCTTTTAATGAAAAATTCTCTATGCAAATGTTTATATGTGGGTTTAAATATGTAAAGAGAAAGGCTTCTGTGTGTCAGTTGTTAAATTATGTGTTGGGCCAATCAAAAATGGCAATCTATGTGAGTAGGAAGAATAAGATTGAAAATAGTTCTGGACAAGATGTACTGGTGGTTTTTTACAATCTGATTAAGTCCAGAATAATTACAGATTTCAATTTTTTCAAGGCTATGAATGATTTGTCATTGTTTGAAGTGAAATGGTGTTGTGGATAGGTATTGTGTTCTGTGCATAAAGGGACACTAATTTTTGCTACCTGTTTACAGTAAAAGGAGTATTTTTATGGGTTTATGTATAAATAGCAGAGTAGACTTTTTGTGTGTGTGTGTTTTATAAAATGAGAACGATGTAATGAAATAATGTTAAATTTTTGATTGTAATAAAATGTGTTTTCAAATTCAAAATTTTCTCTCTCTCTCTCTCTCTCTCTCTCTCTCTCTCTCTCACTCTCACTCTCTCTCTCTCACTCTCCATCAGGTCACTGCTGGCAGCTGCTGTATTGGGACTCACAGTGAATCTTGAAGTCCTTGTACTGCCTGTCTTCAATGGCCACCACATAAAGAGCAGCCCTGTCTGGGAACATCAGACCTCCAGGTTTCTGAAGATGAAGAACACAGAGTATGTTCACTCTTTAGAGACATTGGCTGTACATACTGTACTCTCACACAAAACCATACTTCCTGTATTACACACACACACACACACACAAACACTGACCAGCCACTTATCTCTGGCGTAGATGACCGTGTTCAACATGGACTCATAAAAAAGGCAGTAGCCCATCCATTCTGAGATGATAATGTCCACCTGATCTACCGGCAGCTCAGTTTCTTCCACTTTCCCTTTAAAGATGGTTATAACTGGAACACACAGACAAATAAGGCCATGGAGATGCTTGACAGATCCTTTCTACTCTTTGAATTTTTAAGGTCAGTAAAAAGATATGGGTCAAAATGTGTGTGTGTGTGCGTGTGTGTGTGTGTGTGTGTGTATGAGAGAGAGAAAGAGAGAGACTCCAGCTGAGAATGTAAAACATCCACTTTTATTTAGCCAATTGGATAGTTTTTTTTGTTTTGTTTTTGCCATGATGATGAGTATAATAGGCTTCCTTTAAAAATATAAATCTTACCAACCCGAACTTTTGAAAAGTAGTGCATTTGCACTACTTTTCCATTGTTTTTTTTTTGTTTGTTTTTGTTTTTTGTCACCATCTCTGTTTTAAATCTGCAATTGCAGTTATTCACAGGAATTATTATTTATCATATATTATCGAAATGATAAATTATCATTTATAATTTCGAGTCAAGTGGCGTGTTATCTTGACGCATTTTGAGCTATCCGCGTGTATCCGCGTGTATGTCTACGCCATTAACGTCCACGTCATTCCGCGTGTCTGTACACGCCGTCAAATGTACATCTACATCTGGAGAGCTATGTTTTTCTTTCCTAGGATGGTAAGGGAACAGTCATAAATGTCATTAACCCCAGTGACAGTTAGGTTTAGGGACCGGGTTGAGGTAAGTCATATATTCATATATACAGTAATAACGTTAAGTCAACGGCGTTCATAAACAAGCTGAAAAGCGATTATGCGTGTTGATGGCACGTCAAAAATGGAAATACGAATTGGCGTGTCATACACACGCAACTTCATGAGATCAATCTGCGTTGTGGACACTGTCATTCAGAATCACAGATTCTACTATTTGGAAGTATGTCCAACTTAAAAATTTTCACCAGAAAATGTCATCTGAACTACATTTTAATGCCCTTCCAATATTTCTTTCCAATGCTTTCGCATTGGCCCGGTTGCAGGTCTCTTTTTTTCTGTATCCACTCCAAAGTCCGAAGTCTTTTACATTTTACAACAAGTGAATCTATAGTTGTCATTGATGATTGTGGTTTGAACCTTTCTGCATCTGTATCAAATTGACAAGTTTAATTATATCAAAGGCTAAGAAAAGGCTATAAATTTCCACCTTCAACATCCTTACACGCAGTATAGCTTATACTAGCCGAGACTCCTCCTTTATGTGTACAGATGTGACGTAATGACGCAAAGACATGCTCAAATCTCCCACGGAGGATATCCAGACAGTACCACTGGAATAAAAATCATTATTACAAGCTTACCATTTTGAATTGAGCTAAGGCAAGCGGATAGTTTTGAACACTGGCTGGTTACTTGCTCAAAAAGGTATTGGAGCTTTAAAAAACAACAACATTTAACATGATTAACATTTGTTTTTGGAAAGGCCGTGTCCTTTATCCGAGTCATTTGATCATTTATAAAGCAGAATATTTGCAATTTAAATTCTCTCTTAATATTCAGATTACTGCAGAGGTTTTAAATTATGTATCTTTACAGTAGGAGGTGGAATAGAAGAACGCTCGACGACCACTCTTTATCCTATCAGTGTCTCATCCTGTTTGTCATTCTGCTTTTCTCACACACCCACACAAGCCAGCCAACTACACAGCAAACACACACTTCGAAACACACCAAATCTGCTTACCACTGTCCAGATGATTGGCCTTGATGATTTTCTCAGAGTATTCTGATATACTTGAGCATTCAATCTGAGAAAGGAAAAAAAAAAAACAGAACAATATAAAAATGTAACTTACAGTTGTTATTCCCCACTGTCTTGTGCATCAAGCACATACATTAATGGTTGGTTATAGGGGCTGGTTTAAATTCTCTTTCAGACAAGACATAGCTTATAGAAACACTGTGATTTGGTTAATGGTAAAATACTTGGTTCCTAGGGGTCACCATTATGTTCAGTTTCAAATGTATGTACTCAATTGAGCTCAATTGATAAGAAGACATGCCCAAAAAACTATGATGGAAACAATAAACACTTCAATGCGAAACAAAAAAAAAAAACTTAATACTAAAACTATAAAGCATTCACAAACAACAGGCATCAGAAAGCAAGATAAAATGAAAGCGTTTTGTCATTTATGATGTACGATAAAAGAGCCACAGTGGCTTACCTGATTGCAAGAACTTCCATTTTTATTACACAAACATACAAAACTTCACAGACAGAGCAACATTGACTCAACCAATGGCATGAGTTTGTGTTGGGACGTTCTGGTTTTCTGACCAATGTCACTATTTTTGAAGTTCTGTTTGGAAAGGTGCTAAAATAACACAGAGCTAGACAGATTTAAAAGTTGCAAAAATGTGTGTTTGTAGAGGATAGTTAATTGTTATATGTTACGTTTTGTTACACTCAAAAGTTTGGTGAGATTCTTAAATGTTTTTGAAAGAACCCTCTTATGCTTGACAAAGGCTTAATTTATTTAATTAGAAAAAATACAGTAACAACATTAATATTGTGAAATATAATTACAATAAATAAAAAAGCTGTTTTCTATTTAATATTATTTTCAAATGTCCTTTATTCCTGATGGTAAAGCTGAATTTTCAGCATCATTACTCTTCAGTTTCACATGATCCTTTATATATTTATTATTATTTTTTTTTAATTAAAATGTTTTGTTCATAAAAGTCTTAACTGTCCCTTTTGATTAATTGAATGCACCCTTGCCAACTAAAAGTACTGCCCCCTTACAGAAGCTTACAGACCCCAAACCAAACTTTAGAATGGTAGTGTTGTTTTATAGATTACACAGACTGTCCTATCATTTACAGTCTCTCAACATTACAGTATAAGTGCTAGATGATTCTTGCAACTTGCAATCCTGCCTATTACACATGTTCATCTGATCAGTCCTCGGTGGCTAATGCCTAAAGAGCATTATTTTGCATTTACAAACAGTCCAGATTCCCGTTGTCAGACAGAAATATATGTAAACACGCACATAGTAACAAGGCTGTCAGTGTCCCGAGGCTAAAGGGAAGAGGATGAGAGAGTAAGTAGGAAGCTGCCAGCAGTTTAAGTGAGAGGTTGATTCCTGGCAGCACAGATTCTTCTGCCTCATGACCTCCCTTGGGTTTTCCCGGCAGTTGTGTGTGTTCAAAGTCATCGCCATCAACTCGAGTGTTGCGCGAGGAGTCAGTCAGCATCGCTTCAACTGTCAAACTCTCAGAACCTTCGCTTTCTCCTGCATGCGCAGCCCCATCAGTTTTTGTTAAAGTTTCACGTACTGCAGTGGGTCAGCATTGAGTTTAAAAGTAATCAGAAAAGCCCATAACACAGTCAGCACATTTCCACTTTCAGAAGAAAAGTTTTTGATGTGTATGATCAAGATGAGAGGAAAGTGCCTGGGCCTGAGCTGCAGTAAACAGAGATGAAGGGCAAAACTCAACTCAACTCAACTTTATTTATAGAGCACTTTCAAGACCACAAGTGGAACCAAAGTGCTGTACAAAATGAATAAAATAGAAAGTAAAATAAAAAAAAATATAAAAAATGAAATCTGTGCAAACATGACAAGCTCAAATATATATATATATATATATATATGAAGAGTTCAGATGCAAAAGCCTCTAAATGCCATTTGAAATTTTCTTCTTTAATGATGATTTTTATCAAGCTTGTATATTTAAGTTCAGTAATTACTGAATTTAAATATACAAGCTTGATAAAAATCATCATTAAAGAAGAAAATTTCAAATGGCATTTAGAGGCTTTTGCATCTGAACTCTTCATATATATATACTGTATATATATACTGTATATATATATATATATATATATATATATATATACACAGTATATGTATATATATATATATATATATACAGTATATGTATATATATACATACATATATATACATAAATATAAATAAATATATATATATATATATATATATATACAGTATATATAGATGCACGTTGTCAAAGTATAAATGTTCACAGTAAAGCTCTTATAATGGAAGCATAGGTCTTTGCATCAGGGTAACTGTTATACAGTTTCATTAGCTAATAAACCCATGGCATGACATGCGAGGAAAAGGACTGCTTTGCAAACTGAGGGAAATCAAAATAATTTCAGTGATAAATGACACCAATTTATAGGTGCATGTTACATAACATGTATGCTATATACAGTATAATAGGGCTGCTAGATATATAAAAATTATCGAAATAAAGCAAATGTACATATCGCAATGGTTTGAGATTAATTAATGATTTACTACTTCAAAAAGTCATTTACAGTTAAAGTAATGGGTCAATGCAGATAGCACAGTGACTGGCACGCAAATATTAGATATTAAATGATGTTTTATTAACAAAGTCATCCTGAACTTTGTTATTAAAACATCATCTAATATCTAATATTTGCGTGCCAGTCACTATGCTATCTATATATATATATATATATATATGATATACAAGAGTCCTCCGATAAGACCCCACCCACCACCACCCCACAAACCCCCCCAAAACAGTGCACCATCAGCTTTGCACTCCGCAATTTATTGGGTGGGGCGGTTGTCAGTATCGTTTAATGGCTGCTGTCCCACGTTGGTTAGCAAATTTTTGGGGGGAGTACTCTGGTTTCGGGCCAAAATACTGAGCTTGAAGCCCTCTCCTCGGACAGTACGCCAAACACGCCTCTGATTATTTTATTAACTATGAGAACTATGTGTGAACTATAACTCTTTAGGTGCCTTGTAAGGGGATTATTTGTAAGTGTGAATTCGTGAATTGGGATATGTCTGCGTGTGTGTGCATGATAGCATGTACAAGCTCTGACGCAAGACAATCAAGAAGCTGCGATGCTCTTGTTGCAAACTAATCTGAGAAGATGAGTCAGCCCAAGGCACTCGCAGCTGCTGCTGCCGACGACGGCAGTGTTTTGGTTTTAAAAGAGATGAACACATGCAGACTGAAGTTATTTGTGAAACATGTAAATCTTGAGTGGCAACATGAAAGGGAAACTCTACAAATCTTTACTGTCACCTCAAGACGAAGCACAGCAATTTGTATCAGCTATGCCTGGCAGAAAAATCTTCAAGCACAGATGAATCAACCCACGTTCCCGAACCTAACATCTCCATCACATCAAACTTTAATAGATTAACACCGTATCCTGCAAGCTCATGGCATCATAGAGCAATAACAAAGGCAATACCATGCTATCTGGCAAAGGATATCATTCCAGCTGCCTCTGCGCCGAGTCCAAGTGCTCCCTAGCACTTGCTATGGTATTCCGCCATACATTATTCATTTTACATGCTTAGAAAAGCGCAACATTTTATTTTTTGTCACCATTCTTGATCGAGTTACTCGTGTAACTGTATTTAAAAAGGGAAAACGTTGAGGTGTTTGCTCGCTTCTCTACTTGGATCCTAATGAATGAACTAGGCTAAGCTATGTGCTAACAAAGTTTTGCTGCAAGACAACGATTTAGTGCACACACTAAGACGAGAGAGGCATGTATCAACTCGTCTTAGTTAAGGGAGTAACAGTTTAATGTGAAAAACTTTGGAGTATCCCTTTAAGAAGCATTTTACAGAACGCAGTCACATCTACATCTCCGTCGGAATCCTCAGACCATTGAAGTAACATAACAGCTACATTCTGATACCCAAACTCCACACTGAGGAGCCGTGGTGGGAAATTCAATAGATCCATTCTCCCCACTTAAGCAAGCTGGTGCAAATATATAATAATAATAATATAAACCCAGCAAGCAATTTTGCGTTTAAAAGACGTCTAATACCTGTCCTGTTGTCAGACAGGCCTGATGTCTAGGCTTAAACAAGGCAAATTCTGGGCTGTTAGTGAAAATTAGCCCAAGAATAGACTAGTCAGGAATGAAACCAAACACCTTGTAATCACTGTTGACTTTGCTTACATGATGGAATATCATTCATCTTCCAAGTTATTTTTGACATGTAACCAAATTCAAGGTTATTTTGTCTAGAAGTGGGTTACTCATAGCTATATCGGGTCTATAGTTAACCTAGACGGTGAAATGATGTACTCTATTAGTAAGAGTAAGGGTGTAACCAAATTTGCCCATCCCTCTCTTTCCATCATCATGGCCTCCTAATCATCCCCATATTTTGGCTTCAACACTCTGTCTCCTCTCCACCAATAAACTGGTATTTGGTGGCTGTTCTGGTGCAATATAGCCCAGATGCCAGCCCGAACCCTGCCCACAACATTTTTTGGTCGGGAAGTTCGGTCTGGACTCAATCCATTGAGGAGTAATTATGATCGGTTCAGAATTAGTCGGGCCAATCAAATTGCCAGGGCGGGCTTTATACGATGATGGACAGATGATCTGCAATTCCCTCAGAGTTGACTGCAGCTGGAGAATTGAGATGTATAGATTACGCTCTCGTGTCTGTTGTAAAAGAAATCGTCAGCACATTAATTTTAAATGACGAACAGAACTGCAATCAAGGCATTTGTTGACCGGAAAGATGTGTTTGCCGTCCTTCCTACGGGATTCGGAAAAAGTTTAATTTATCAGCTGGTCGCTAAGAAGATGGGATGCAATGAAAACTCTATGGTCATTGTGGTTTCTCCTTTGGTCGCACTCATGAAGGACCCTGTAAAATAAGAAACACTAAAATTATTTGACTGCTTCTTCCAGCGTGCGTGCAGTTGACTTCTGTTTACATCTATGCGTAGCTCAGCGTTGCTCTGATTGGTTGTACTGTAGGGCTATCCAATTGAGTGCAAAGATTTTTTTTCCTAATTTGGTTAAGACACTCCTTATAATCAAAGCCCTATGGAGCAGTATCAGACTCACATTCTGTCCAGAATAGGAGTATGACGAAGTCAGGCTAGGTGCAACATGGCTGCCGTCGCGTTTTTATTTACCCGTATACCCGTATATGTTCATGTTGACATACAGGTAACTATACCAAGTTGAGCAAAGTGTCGGTGGTATTTAAATTGTTTTTCTTTTTTTGTTTGTTTGTTTGTTTGTTTGTTTACATTGTTAAAAATCTGATTTGTTTTATGCAACAGTAAAACGTAACTGTCAACTTTCAGAAGTTGTAGCTTTCTTTTCCTTGAAATAATGAGAAACAGATATGTTGGTCATGTATTTTTCTTTTTTTATATATATATATTTTAATAGAATTTAAATTGATTTTAGAATCTTTAGATCTGATGAGATCCTCCTCTGATGAGATCTATCCGTCTTGTTGTTTTTGTAATCATATTGATTTATATCATTGCGGTCTTCCTCAACCATGAGACCAAAGTATGACAAACTAAGTTTAATAATTCGTGCTTCGAGTGGCATTTCCATTTGATTTCCTCTATGATTGACTTGTTATTCCATCTCGCTGTCAATACCTCACGAATAAGGAATCTCCTCCAGCACCATATTTCGAATGAGTCAATCTTCCTTCGATCTTACTTGCGGAACCGTAGGTGACAACCGAGAAAATGCGGGTCTTTGATTAGGCACTAATTTTTCAAACACATTTTGTTCTTTATATTTTGGTGTGTAACTAGAACAATAACAAAATACAGTAAACTGTAAAACCATTTGTGCTATGACTGTGTGTGTTGCTAAAAAATCCAGCTGACACCGAAAGCAAAAATGGCTAATAATGGCCACAGCTGCTCTTACATTAAAAATAAGGTGGATATCAATATCAAAGTCCCCTGCAGAATACCATAGTAGTTTGCACAGGAAGGCAAAATGTAAAAATCTAGTTTATATTCTGCATTGAGCAAGTGTTTTTCGTTTGCGATGAGTAACAGACACTGAAGAGAGTTTGCGCTCTCTGGCATTTGATGAATATGATGAAGCCATTCAGAGGATTGTTCATTATCACAGTGCAACTGGATAAGAGCAGCGAGGTGCAAATCACATCAGCTCAATTACAGAGACCGCGACTCAGACAGACACCAACACATGGCAAGGCTTGCCGGGGTAGTTTCGTTCTCTTCTGAAAACTGATAAAAGCTATTGAACATTCTGTCCCAAGAGGATGGCAGGACAGGATAAAATCGAGTTTTTTTCTCTCCGTTCATACTCTAACTTGGCTCAACAAGCTCTGGCTTTAGTTCTAAAAGAGAAAGTGCCAAACAAGCCCCATATGTTTAATGTGGCCCTTCTGACCTTTACTTATTTCTTTGGTGTGCTTTTTTTTTTAGATATATCTGAAAAGCCAATTACCACATCCTCACAATGTAGTGTGTTAGAGCCGGATACATCAGCACGGCCAATAAAGGCTGACCGCTAAAGAACCTTCACCGACCACTGGGGAGGAATGCATTAAGGGGGAGAGGTCTGAATGGACAGGTCAGGAAGTGAGGAAGCGAAATGGAACCAAATAGGGGAATTGCCAGAAAGAAAAACAGAAGGGGGCCCTTATAAAAAAAAGTACAATGGTGGTGTCATGCTAGTGATGCTATCACATGGTAGTTCAATGTTGATTTAATTCTTGCGGATCACAGATAGTCCTGCACAGAGGGATTTTGAGCCATTCTTCTTCCAGAACAGTGGGCAGGTCACTATCTGATGCTGGTGGAGGAAAATGGTTTCTGACTTGCTCCTCCAAAATTCCCCAAAGTGGCTCTAAAATATTTAGATCTGGTGACCGCGCAAGCCATGAGCAATGTTCAACTTCACTTTCATGTTCTTCAAACTATTCAAGTCTTGCTGTAAGTATTGGTATTCTACAATGCTGAATTTGGCATCACAACACAATGTTCATTATGAAAAAAAATATATAATATTTAATATATTGAATATTGATTTTTAAAATTACATTCAACTTTAGTGTTACGAAATTATGCTTAAAGCCTAATTAAATTTGTAATTGAACTATTGTTACTGATTTTTACTGTAAAGCTGCTTTGAAGCAAGTAAATGAAGCATGGTATAAATATTGCTATATAAATAAAATATTGTTATATAATAAATATTAAATGATTAATTAGTGATAAGGTGTATATACATATATATATATTTGAGTTAAAATGCAATCATTTTCTAACAAACAATTAATTTTTTTTTGTCATGGCTTTTTAACATATGTTTTCGTCTGTTTTGAACTTACTGTATTTATGAGCCTTATTAGGAAATAAGTATGTGGTAATATATGATCATATTTCTCTAAAAAAAGAGGATTATTCGCTACACCTTCAAAAGCTCTTGGTGCGACTGCAACACATGATGCTATTTTGGGCTCTGTGGATCATTCCAGCAGGGTAGGAGGCTCCACACTCATGTGGTTTTAGGCATAAGGAGGGCCGCTCTTACCCCATACACGTGCTTGGCTCCGGCCTTGGCAGCAAACATGGAGAGGATGCCAGTACCACTCCCCACGTCCAGCACGATCTTGTCCTTGAAGATGTGTTTGTTATGGTACATCGAGTTTCTGTACGTCATCGTCCTCACTTCATCCTTTAGCATTTCCTGTATATCCATGCATGCAACAAAAAAAAAAAATACTACTTTCCAACCTGATTGTGTTTAGACAACGTTTGAAATGTTTCTTTAACAGAAAAGTATATCATGAAAAATCATGGTTAAATCATGGTTGTATAATCATGGTTGTTTGGGCATGGTACCATGGTTTATTGTTCCATTGTTTGCGTTCCATTTAAATACAATGGTAGCCTGGATGCCAGCCCGAACTATGCCCACAACATTTTTTGGTCGGGAAGTTCGGTCTGGACTCGATCCATTGAGGAGTAATTATGATCAGTCAAAAAATGAACGGGCCAATCAAATTGCCAGGGCGGGCTTTATACGATGATGGACAGATGATCTGCAGGGACGTAATCATCATGTTATCAAAGAGCGCTTAACTGGTTTCCCTCAAAGATGACTGCAGCTGGAGAATTGAGATGAATAGATTCCACTGTCGCGTCTGTTGTAAAATAAATCGACAGCGCATTAATTTTAATAGACGAACAGAAAACTGCAATCAAGGCATTTGTCGATTGGAAAGATATTTTTGCCGTCCTTCCTACATGATTCGGCAAAAGTGTTACTTATCAGCTGGCTCCGATGGTAGCTAAGAAGAGGGGACGTAATGAAAAGCCTGTAGTCGTTGTGGTTTCTCCTTCGGTCGCACTCATAGAGGACCAAGTAAAAGAAACAACACTCGTTATTTTTGGTTTAAGTTATGTAGTTCACAACTGTGCTATGCAAAGTATTTGACTACTGCGTTACTCTGATTGGTTGTAGGTCTACCGACTATCCAATTGAGTGCAGAGTTTTTTTATCCTGGTTCGGTTAAGACACGCCTTATAATCAAAGCCCTATTGAGCAGTTTCAGACTCACATTCTGACTAGAATATGAGTATGATGAAGTCAGGCTAATACAATGGTATATTAATATGGTAATCACTGGACATGGAAATATCTTTTGATTTGATTCATCATTTCACCTTGTAACAGCTTTTTTTTTTTTTTTTTAGAAAGGGTATGCGGCTATGATTCTCACCCAGATATGAAACACAGGCAAAAAAAAAAAAAAAGTATTCAATGGTTTTAATGATGTTTAACCAATGAAGCCTACTGCATCAAATGTGATTAGAAGATTTCTAAGGCCTCTTAGAATAAAAACATTGCTAAAAAAAACTATCTGTTACATGTTTTCTGTCAAATATATATACTCACCTAAAGGATTTTTAGGAACACCATACTAATACAGTGTTTGACCCCCTTTCGCCTTCAGAACTGCCTTAATTCTATGTGGCATTGATTCAACAAGGTGCTGAAAGCATTCTTTAGAAATGTTGGCCCATATTGATAGAATAGCATCTTGCAGTTGATGGAGATTTGTGGGATGCACATCCAGGGCATGAAGCTCCCATTCCACCACATCCCAAAGATGCTCTATTGGGTTGAGATCTGGTGACTGTGGGGGCCATTTTAGTACTGTGAAGTCATTGTCATGTTCAAGAAACCAATAAATGATTCGAGCTTTGTGACATGGTGCATTATCCTGCTGGAAGTAGCAATCAGAGGATGGGTACATGGTGGCCATAAAGGGATGAACATGGTCAGAAACAATGCTCAGGTAGGCCGTGCCATTTAAATGATGCCCAATTGGCACTATGGGGCCAAAAGTGTGCCAAGAAAACATCCCCACACCATTACACCACCATCAGCAGCCTGCACAGTGATAACAAGGCATGATGGATCCATGTTCTCATCCTGTTTATGCCAAATTCTGACTCTACCATCTGAATGTCTCAACAGAAATCGAGACTCATCAGACCAGGCAACATTTTTCCAGTCTTCAACTGTCCAATTTTGTTGAGCTTTTGCAAATTGTAGCCTCTTTTTCCTATTTGTAGTGGAGATGAGTGGTACCCGGTGGGGTCTTCTGCTGTTGTAGCCCATGCGCCTCAAGGTTGTGCGTGTTGTGGCTTCACAAATGCTTTGCTGCATACCTCGGTTGTAATGAGTGGTTATTTCAGTCAAAATTGCTCTTCAATCAGCTAGAATCAGTCGGCCCATTCTCCTCTGACCTCTAGCATCAACAAGGCATTTCCCCCCCACAGGACTGCCACATACTGGATGTTTTTCCATTTTCACACCATTATTTGTAAACCCTAGGTATGGTTGTGTGTGAAAACCCCAGTAACTACGATGACAAAGCATCATGGTATTGTCTTGGTTTTTTAGACATTATGTTTTGAAGTACTTTGGAGTAACATAAATCTATGGTATATTAATACACAACCATTCACTACCACGGTTATTATTCAGCTTTATTGTAAAAACATAAAATAAGATGTGGATCTCAGTCAACCTGTGAGAATGTACAGAACTTGCTGTCACCATTACAGCATGTCTCCTCAGATCTATGCAGCTTTTTTGGTGTATGCCTCTGTCACACTTAGATGAGAGAAGGGGAAAAAAGATCTGACCTATATACTAAAAATGAGTGTGAAAAAAATTAATCTTGCAGGTCTCGCCTGAACCTCCCGTTCTCTGCACTCATCCTATAATTCAATGACACCCCCACCCCGTCCCTCCCTCCTGCTCCATTTCTCTGCATACTCTGCATTATATATAACTCCCATCAGCATAAATCAACATGACTGATGTTGATTACCATGAGTACTTACATCCTACAGTACATCATATGTCTAAGCATGTTAAATGCAAGCATCCACTGCTCTGATGTGCTCATACCTCATGAATACCGAAGTGTGCATACGAGTCAAAATAGTAATCCCTGGAGGTCATCTCATCGGGGTTGAGGAACTTGGCCATCTTTCCTCTGCCGGGGCAGCTGGGTAAGCTGGCTGAGTGAGGGGTGTGAGGCGCGAGGGACGGGTGTGTGGGCCGCTGGGCATGATGGACCGATGACACTGGTTTGGGCAGAGGAGAAGGCTGGACCGACTGGGATGGGGCGGCACTTAAGGGCTGTTGCTAAAACGGGGAGAACAGAAGAAATTCTCATCATTGTATGGAAATTCTCATCATGGAAATTCTCAAATCTATTTGGACACCTGGTTATCGAACATCTGCTAGGACATCTGTGTAAACTTGAGGAACACTTTGAAAAGGTCTAATGTCATTTTTTTGCGTATGAAATTTGGTTTGATATGTATCTATTGCAATAACATTTGTTCAGATAAGTGTTGAAATACTTATTGGAGTGACTGCATAATTTAAATGTAAGGTATTTATAGATTATTTGTTATATTATGTTCATTTTTTGTATTTTTTTGTGACGATTTTATGTTTTAATAAATGTATTTTGATAAATAACAAGAATTTTAATTGATGTGCTTAATTAAAATAAAGTCAAAATAAAATAAAAATAAATAAAATAAAAACAAATCATAATGATCCTAATCCAGGATCTTTAATATATATATACAGTATATATATATATTTGTTTTTGTAAAAAAAAGAATTAAAGGTTGGCACACCATAGCTCCAAAAAATATAAAAATATTTATTTCATGTTCTCACCATATGATGTTTCGAGCCCAGTGGCTCTTCATCAGACAATGAACAACACATACACTGATAAGCGCTTAAATACACCACAGAACTACATCACATGATCAAATTTATTTTGTGGTTGAGCACTCTCATTGAGCTTTTTGCCCGTTACATGCACAGACTTTGTATTGAAACTTTATTTTGTCACATTCAGACTTGACTTGATAATCCAACCAAAGATTCTTGATGCAGAATAATGATAACCTCACATTCAATAAACACCTGAAACAATACAGATAAACACGAAACTTCAATAGAGACAATTCAGTCATGTTTAAAAATAGTCCTGTTCAAGAATGTCAAGCACTTGTCTGTCACATTTCTGAGACCTGGTAGAGGTGGATTGTGCCTTAAGACCAAAGGGAGTGCAGGACAGTTAGACTGCCGTGGAAAGGTCTTAAGACAAGTATTACATATGGTGAGCCTCTCTGGCTCCGATTAGATCTTCTACTTCCTGCAGAGAATCTTGGCCCTTCCTCAAAGGGAACCATCATCCCACATTACACACAACAAACAGGTATAAATGGGCCATTTGAGGCACTGGAAGCTGTGTGAAGGCACTGTGTGTGTGTGTGTGTCTGTGTGTCTTCCTATATATATATATATATATATATATATATAATGAAATACTACATAATACATACAACAATTTAATGTATAAAATATTAATTCAATTAAACAGTGTAATTAAAAACTAACAAACTTAAAGAAAGTTTCTTTAAATTAAACAACTAAGAAAATTTGGGGTCTAGGCCAGTGGCCCCTGTCTCTGTAAAGGTTGAAAACCTCTGATCTAGAACATTTCTGTACTTTAAAGAAGCACAAAACTCATAATGTTTAGAGCTAATATCCTATAATGTTTTCTCATATATTTCTCATGTTTTGCAAATTTGTGAAAGTGAAGATATGTCTTTGTTGGCATAAGTGTTCAGATCGGTATGCATGTGTGCAGGCTTTTAGCCCAGGGGATTTAAAATAATGAGTGTCAGCAGAGGGGAAGAGCAGCTGTATCAAGAGGCATAAAGGTGTTCGGATCTATTAGAAAGACCGGAGAGGGGAACACATGTCCTTGCCCCTCCTGTCAGCCAACAAATCTCATTTCACATTCTAATTTTAACCTCAACAAATAGCACATTTCGCCAACATTCCACCTTTTAACCATGCTCTTGAGAACTGTAATAGGTTTTTTTTTGTTTTTTTTTCGTGACATACTGTAACTGGATTGATGTGTGTAAAGGGAAAATAGTTGCTCTTGTGATCCTTTCACAAATAGAACTGCCATAGCTTTTCTCTGGTGTTATTTTATGACAGGGAACAACCCAAGAGCTGTTTTGCATTGCATTTCTAAATCATTAATGTATTCAGAACTGCTCTTATGAATGTTGCAGATTTATGGACTCTCTGCTTTGGCTGGGCACAATGTAAAAAGGCTGAAACTGCTAGAGTGCCTTTCAGAGCTAAGTGGTGTATTCTCAAGGAAGAGCCATAACTGTAAGCTTTATACTTTTGAAACCCACTGCTGACCTTGAAGAGCACAACAACATCTCTATTGAAAAGGCTGTAAAACCACACAAAATACTGCATTCTGGTTTATAGTCATTCAAGAACATCCAGATGCAGATAAAAGTATACACTTTAAAAAAAAAAAATTATGTTCCAAAAAAAGTGTTTTTGCAGCACTGCCATAGAGGAACCATTTTGGGTTTCCCAAAGAACCTCTCAGGGAAGTTCTTAAAAATCTTAAAAACAATATTTCAATATTCTGAAGAACCTATTTCACTATAAAGCACATTTTGTGCAAATAAAAGATTCCATGGATGTTAACATTTCTTTATGGAACCATAGAAACCAATATTTTGAATGTAGTTTCACCCAAAATTGAAAATTCTGTCTTTTTCTCACTCTCATGTCATTGATTCCAAGTATTATTATTTTTTCTTTTTTGGAAAATTGTCTGTGTTTTTCTTTTCTTTTCTTTTTTTCTTTTTTGACTGTTCAGTAAAAATTCCATTGTTCAATGTTGTTTTTAACCCATTTGACTTTCAATGTGAATAAAAACATTCTTCAAAATATCTTCTTTTGTGTTCTGTAGTATACAAAAAAAATGTCATACAGGATTGGAATGACATGAGTGAAAGAAAATAATGACAGAATTATAATTTGTTTAGAAAATGTTTCTTTTAAAAGTCTACCTCGCACTAAACACACCACTTCTATCTACTCTCTGTGGAACCCTATTCGACTAACAGCCCTAGTGCAGAGCAGTCTACAGACTTTGCTATTTTGGGAGAGGTTTCAGAGGTCAGACAGCATCTATCAGATGGTTTTAAAGATCTCTTGACATTATACGGTGGCCTACTGCTGGGCTAAACTTTGTGAGGAACCTTTAACAAAAGATTCGGCCCCTTTCTTCATCCTTTAAAGAACATGGATTACATTTCATGCTTCCATGACTATGTCAATACATTCCAGCTGGCTAATCCCTCATTCAAATTGCATTAAGTTCAAGGCCACTAATGAAACTGGAATTCATCAAAGCATTTTGCTCAATGGCAGCACTGGATTGCAACCTCAGTATTGTAATGTGTAGAATAGATGAACACGCAAGTATCTGATTCTGAGTAGTCTCAAACTAACAAGGAGAATATGAAAACCAACAAAGGCTACGTTCACACTGCAGGCTGAAACGACCTAATTCCGATTTTTTTGCCCCTATGCGACCTGTATCTGATTTTTTCGTGACAGTCTGAACGACACAGATCCGATCTTTTCAAATGCGACCCACTTGGGTATGTGGTCCAAATCCGATATGTATCTGATCTTTTGAAATGCGACTTCAATCTGAACGGCCAGGTCACATATATCCGACCCGCACGTCATTGCACGCACCTGTAGCTAGCAAATACACTAACACCAGCCACCAGTGTCGCAAAGCAAGGAGCGCCGAGTACGCGTACTATCAATTAAACGGGTTTTATGACGAGGTCGGTGACGGTGAGGATCGGAAAAATCTTACATTTATGTGCAAACTTTGCCCGTCGATAAAATAATTGTTGTCTGTGTTTGTATATGGGCTGTGGCAATAATAATAATAAAACAAAAGCTCGCAACATATGGAAAAAAAGAACTATTCCGCAAACAACAAGTGACGTTGTTGACCGTTGTTTACTCTTCTGCGCATGCGGGTCACTTCTGGGTCATTTCACGTTCACACAGGAGATCACAAAAGGTCGCATTTAATTGGAAATGTGAACGGCCTTGCAAAAAAATCGATTTTTTTCAAAAAATCGGAATTGAGCATTAAGCCCTGCAGTGTGAACGTAGCCAAAGAAACTACACATCAACATAAACAAGACTGAACAAAAACTAAGAGGAAATCAAAGCGAGGTAATCAAAGCGAGGTAATCAACTGGAACAGAAACAGGAGCGTGATAAATCAGAAACCATGGAAACTAATAACGACCAGGAACACATGCAAAACAGGAACAGGGAAAATGAAACCAAAACCCGATGACTCAAACCTTCACTGCCCTGCACTAAAACTCTGGCTAAATGCTGTAATGGGACACTCAAGTAAGTGTTCACAGGAGTGGGCCCTGGGCCAATTTTGATTTTAAGATGTTAAGATGTTGTGTCTTCCTTTATGACAACACAAAATTATTCCAAAGCTGTGATACAATCGTTTCCAAGCTTGCAAAATCTTTCAGTAACAATAAGGTTTTGTGTCAATAAACAAAGTGCAACTATGTTGTTTTCACCAAAGTCAATACATCTTAATTAAAAAAGGGCATCAATTTTGCAACACTGGGCTACATTCAGGCACTTTAACCAAAAGTTACATCATAAGTTGTCACATTTCAGGGCAAAATATCATATATGTTGTAATTTTATAAATTAAGTCTGCAATTATTTTAATATGGGCAATATAAAATATGTTTTTTATATTATTGAATATGTTTACAGTATTTAACACACACACACACACACACACACACACACACACACACACACACACACACACACACACTATATATATATATATATATATACTGTATATATAAACCTTTTTTTAAGGTTTAGTTCACCAACCCTCAATTTGTTCCAATGAGTTTCTTTCTTCTGCTAAACACAAAATAAGTATTTTGAAGAATATCTGTAACCAATAGTGGTGGAAAGGGTACTGAAAAAACATACTCAAGTAAAAGTACCATTACAGTACCATTAGGCTGCCTGAGCATGCTATTGTTGCACATAAAATATCAATTCATAACTGTGCAAAGAATTCAAAAACCTTTAGAAACTCACACAGAAGTTCAGCATCACACACCATGAGATGGGTTATTAAATAGAGAGAATAAAACATTTCTCTTAAAAACAGTACCAGTTTTTGGGGTTTGATAAAGAAATGAGAATCACTAATATTATCACTTTACCTCACCCAATGCACTGAAAAAGGCAGATAGTGAGTGAGCTAACACTAATTACACTGCAATTATGCCATTCAATATATTACAATTTAAACGTATGCATTGTTCTAGAAGGGTGGCTTCTTCATCCATCCATTACATTTTACACTGCATTCTGAATCATGGTCCTCCAATTTCAGTACAGAAGTTCACGAGTTCACACTCACATATAAATAGACTGGATAAGATTAAATGTGTATTTGGCGTACTTGGGATGAGGGCTCCGAGCTCAGAGTTTGGCTTGAAGCCATAGTACTCCCCCCATGTAAGAGTTTAGGACTGGATGTGTGGAGAATGGGCGGTGGAGGGATGCTGCTAAACTATCAATGGAGTGAGGATTACTGAATATCATTAATTGATGATGAGTGCAATCATGTTAATTAAATGAACATGCTCCTCCCGAACTTTGTTAATAAAACATCATGTGTTTTCCACAGTTTTCGACTGTCCCCAACACACCTTCACAGCACACCTCATACTAAAAGACTCGACGAGCTGCTGACTTCTCCAAGTGATGCTCCATGACGAGCGCGAGGGAACGTAAAATTACAGTAACGTGAGTATTTGTAATTCGTTACTTTACCCTTGGTAACAGCTGATGGGCATCAATGAGTAGGCCTATGGAAAAAATACTATGGAAGTGAATGATGCCCATCAACATTCTTCAAATTCAAAATATCTTATTTTGTGTTCAGCATAAGAAAGAAACTCATACACATTTGTAACAACTTGAGGGTGAGTAAATGATGGCAGAATAAACTATCCCTAAGTTATTTCCAATTATATTAGCTGCGCTCCTCGACGCAGGTGCAGCACCAAGGACAGCGACCAGACTCGTCTAGGGCACACGGAGCTTTGCTCAAGACACTAATTACGAATCAATCACTAATTAGTCATTATCTTAAGCTTTATGTGTCTCATGGACAGTACGCTTAGAGCAACAGGAGCAGACTTGTGGATAAATGTCTTTCTAAATGGACTGGAGAATTTGCACAACGGTAGGTTACAACATACCTGCCCAGATCTTTAACCATTTTGTCCACCACAAAGCAGCGTTTGATTAGCAACTAGTATAATTGTAACCATTGCAACCGACTTTCTTTGCAAACAATAGACGTTCTCTCCCAATATCGCACGTGGCTGTATTTACAAAATCGTGTAGGCGTTCAATGGCGTTTTCAAGTATCCAATAGTCAGTTATATAGGCTACATCGCTTAGGCTACTTATCACCAGACGCAAAATGCTTTTTGCGAATGCTGAGTAACCGTTGCAACTGAACGCCGCTGGAACGCCTCCCGTTATGGAAAAAAAAAAAAAAAAACACACACACACACACACACACACACACACACACACAAACACAAATAGGCTAATGTCAATATTTAGCACTAGCCAATTAGGTTTACAATTACTGGTTTACAAAAAAAAAAAAAAAAAAAAAAAAAAAACAACAACAACAACTTTGTTTTCCTTAAAATAGATTTGAGATTACCTGTGAACTGTGCAAGTGATGGCAAAAGACAATGTTGCGCGAGAGAACCATTGAGCCGCGAAATAAAACAGAAGTTCGTTCGTTTACACACGACACGTTAAAGACTCATTGTAATTCGTACGCAGCTATACAAACTCAAAACCTCGAACCCAAGGTTGCTTTTAAATGTACGTTTTGGTCTACTGAGGCTTCATGACTGAAATGAATATTGTCTCGTTATTTGATCTGTTAATCCACGTCGCTTACCTCAGTGCTTTCCGAATCCGCCATTTTTCTCCTAAGGAGCAAACACCGGGAGGAGTGTTTAATTCCCATAAGAGCCAGCAGGATCTGCTCCGGATCTTGCGATAAATAAATGATAAAAACCTCTTCAAAGTCTTTCCCGCAGCCGTTTGCTTAATAAACTCAAACAAATCACATAAATTCGAATCACGTTCCAGAAGATAAACGAGCCCGCCTAAAACTTGTTGAAAGCCCTCCTAAATCCATGGTGTAAAAGTTACCTACAGCAGTGGTTCCCATGGGAGCGCATGCATGGCGAACTCTCCATATCGTGCGAAAAATATTACGTAGCCTATTAAGAGGCTCCCCATCCTTCCATGACTTGAGGAATCTGAGATCAGCTGGGCAGTAAAAGTATTAATCATTCACGTCTCCATCCTTTGGATCTGGAATAAAGTCCCCAAGTAACCATTTAAATATGTTATTTCCCTTGTGTGAAAATCGCTCTCTTTAGCCTGTTATAATAGGCTGTTTCAGTGAAGCAAGAAAAATGCTTTCTGCTGCTCTGAAATCGTTCGTCGGTCACTGAAGAGATTCTCTCACGTATAAAAGTGACTCAAAGACGTTGCTCAACGCTCCAAATCGGATCTTCAAAGATTTTCCGAAAATAGGCAACGTTTAAAGTTCCTCTTGTGAGATGCTGAAGGATCTTTAAAGACGAATCAGTTGGATTCCTTTAAATGGAGCAGTGGGAGTCATTGAGGTCTGTGTTCACCACGTCTCCATCCTCTGACCGGCTGAATCAAATGATTCACGAGCTGAGCAGGTCCCAGCTGCTGCTGTAATACTGAAGCTCTCCAAACACTAATAATTAAATTAGTTAGCGTTCTGGTTTGTTTTCACCCGCACTGAAAGGTTTATAGGTTTATTTATTTATGTATGCATGTATACCAAAAAAAAAAAAAACTAGAGTAAGAAGACTTATTCTAAAAATATAAGCAGCACGCAACTGTTTCCAACATTAATAATAACTGAGAATCAAATCAGCATATTAATGATTTTTGAACGAGTAGCCTAATGGCTGAAGAAAATTCATCTTTGCATCACAAAAATTTTATATATTAAACCATTATTTTAAATTGTAATGATATTTCACAATTACCGTTTTTTTTTTCAGTTTTGATCAAATGAATGTACACTGTAAAAATATTGCTGGTTTAACTTAAAAAAGTAAGTAACCTGGTTGCCTTAAAATTTTAAGTTCATTGAAATGGAAAAAGTGAGTTAATACAATAAAGGATTGAGGAGAATGATTTAAGCAACAGAAACTCAAAATTACATGTTATCTGAACTAAATAAATTATTTAAGTTGATTTGACAAATCATTACTAATCACAAAAAGATTTTTTTTAAAGTGTAGTTTTGATGGACATAAGAGGCATCATTCAAACAGTAATGTTTCCAAACTTTTGAGCATGCATGATTAAACCCTTTATACTTAAAGAAAATATTTGCAATTTTAAAACATTTACAATCGCATAAGTTGAAATCTCCAGACACTTCTAGAAATATTATTTATTTTACATTATCAAAATAAAATGTGGTATGCACCTCCCTCAAATAAATTTAGCTCCTTTATCAACTCTTTAGTGCTCTGCTTTAGTGTCCTCAGATTTCTATCATATCTCTCTTGTTCCTTAGTAAAACCATAGCATATCATCTGTCGGGCTCATCTTTGAATCGTGTTTCCAGTGATGTTTAATGGAACTCCTGGTTCAAAGAACTAATGACAGCAGGGTGGATGTAACATTCGCTCTCTCTTTGTACTTCGCTGAAGAGCTGCTGTTTTCTGTGATGTTGAATTACCTTTGCTGGCCTTATCAGATCACTCTCATCTTACAAAGCGCAGCAATTCAAGATATGGCTCTCTTTATTTCCTGGCCAATGGTAGTAAAAAAAAAAACGCAACAGGAAGGAATGATAATGGTAGTTTGCGTACTTCAACTGATAAATATACAGTACAGAATGATGTCTGTGTTATTAGCATCATTGCACTCTATTTAATCATATTATTGCATTGGTTTTATTATGCGACATATTATATCTACAACTTTTTTTTTAATTCTGTTTATACCATTAAGGAGTACTAAATGAAATTAAGTGGGGAATTTGTGTGGGTTTTCAAAACTTCATAAAGTGAAATGAAAGTTACCTGAAATTATCTTTCTTTGCTTTTCTTTGCATTAAAAGACAGGGATCATGGCAGCCAATAATTTTCAGCGGAGCATGAGGGGATATTCTGCACTCTTCTGAGAGCTGTGGGAGTTGTGGTGCTAGCACAGGAGCATGGGCTTGTGGGTGTTTCAGGAAGAATAAGCCAAACAGGGCACCAAGTGGGTGGACAAGAGATCTGCCAGGTTTTTACGCAATCTCAGAGTTTACAGAAAAAAAAATATAAAACTGACTGCAGATCTGCTGGGTAAAGGAAAATCTAGAAGTATATACGGTTCATGATGAATTTTTGGTTTCATGTGAATATGTTGTTTTCATGGTAACTCAAAGAGCATTGATTGATCATTTAGTTTTTGCTCATTTGTGAACTTGGGCCACAAAACGAGCCACATGGTTCAATTTTCAGATTTACATATATACATAATCTGAAAGCTGAATAAATAAGCTTTCCATTGATGAATGGTTTGTTTGGATAGGACAACATTTGGCCAGTATAGACCATATGCACCAGAGAAACGTGGGCGCCGTCATCTTTAGAATATTGGCCGTTTTTCAATATGCCTTCTTGTCTGTACTTGTGTTCTTGTGGACTTGTGAAACGTCACCATTCGCGGCCCAAGTACTGTCCCAATATGCAAGTTTGCATTTTGGCAATCAACGGATAAAAATCCGGGGGTGTTGTTGGCACGCCCATTTTACCCAGGATGAATCGGTTGGTAACTTGTGTGAACTTGAAGGCAGATATCCCATTCATTTCGGCATGCGAGGAAGGAGCGGGAAGCAGAGAGAGGCAGGTAAATTTTAAGTTACCAAAATATTACCGGCGTTTTCCAGCCGTTAGCTAATGATGTGCCTGGTTCAACCAGACTCTAGAAATTGAGCGGAAGTGCGTAGGAGGGTGCAGCCAGGTGATGTACACAAACAAGAAGCAGAATTAAAATGCGACAGGTGTTGCTTTATTATTATGAATATACATTACATTGTAGTTTATGTAGTAATCCCTTAAACTGAAGGTAGGCTTGGGCGATAAAGTTATCGTCAATAATTCTCGTAATGTTTGGGCACGGCGTTTGTGCGTTGGTATGCGCAATACCAGCAGAACACATCGTCTCAAACTGTAAGCAGCGTTCTGTGTGCTCGTGAGTTCATTGTTCCAAGAACAACTAGCAAGAGTTTTCTTCACTAGAACACAAGTCCATTCTTTGCTTTCTTGGTTTTGAGAAACACCCATTGTCTTTGAAATTCCCGTTTTTGCGGTCACTCTGTATTCTTCTATGGCATCGCTGTCGAGGAGTAGCCTAATAGCTGGTGAAGTGGATTTACTTACTGTAGAGTTAACAAAAGTTATCATGAGCATTGTAATGTTTATCATAAGCATTGTAAAACAGATGTCTTAACAAATGTCGACCTGGAATTTTTTACGAGCCGTTCATTCATACCTATGAAAGATCACTGTGAAAATACAGACCGGAAATCAAAAGACAACGAGCGCAACTCTGAAAAGGGGCGGGGCTACATAAGGTCTATACAACTATTTGAAAACCTGGAATCTGAGGGTTTCAAAAAAATCTAAACATTGAGAAAATTGCCTTTAAGTGATTTCCCAGACAGCAAGCAAACATTGAATAAACATTGTTTTCCATCTGAATCATCATTATGGTTGATATCGAAATTTCAATGCAAAATTAATGTTGAATCAACATTGCCCTGTCGATGACAACCATGATGTTATTAATGTTGATGGCAACGATATTGGAACAAAATTGATCTATAGTTATCTTTATGATTGATTTAGCATTGATATTTGGTTTACTGGGCGGGCGCTGAATGTGTTGAAAAGTAATTATGTTCACAGTTGTTCTGCATTCACTCACAAAAATAAATGTTTAAAATATTTACAGTAGGAAATTTACTAAATATCTTAATGGAACATGATCTTTAATTAAAGCTGCAGTCCAGCGATTTTACTCTTTGTCACCATCTCTGTTCGAAATCTGCAATTGCAGTCATTTGCGGAATTATTAACTTTACGCGAGTTGTACTTGAACACCCTCGACACGGCACAGTGTGGATGAACACAATGTTTGAGGAGACTGTGAGGCTGTCAGTCACCGCGCCGGTGTGGATACTGGCATTCTAAATAACAGATGATTCTTTGGAAGTATGACCAACATAAGAATTTTCACCGCAAAATGTCATCTGAACAAGTAAGAAACATCCACTTTTGTTCTAGTCCGACAATGCAGTAAATCGCGCCGATTAAATTTAACAATCGCTTATAAGTTATCATATCACAAAACTGTGCAAATTATAATTTGTTCTCAAATTGTTAATGTTAACAAGTAAGCAACCATTGCGTGACTACATGTAATGTCCTTCAGACATGTTTTCACATGGCCCGGTTGCAGTCTCTTTTTTTCTGTAGCCACTCCGAAGTCCGAATGAAGTCTTTTGCATTTTACAGTGGGTGAATCTCCAGTTGTCACTGGTGATTGTCGTTTGAACCTTTCTGGATCCGCCATCAAATTGACAAGTTTAATTATATCAAGTGCTGTGAGAAAAGGCTATAAATCTCCACCTCCAACATCCTCACACGCAATATAGCCGACTAGCCGAGACTCATTCTTTATGTGTACAGATGTGACACAATAATGCAAAGACATGCTCGAATCTCCCACGAAATCCACCAGTACCACTGGAGTTAAAAGTATTATTACAAGCTTACCGCTTTGAATTGAGCTGTAGCAACCCGATAGTTTTGAACACTGGCTGGTTATGTATTTTCTCAAATATGTATTTTGGATAATTTTTAACCCAAACAAAAGCTATGGCCTGCAGCTTTAAATATCCTAATAATTTTTGCATAAAACAAAAATGGATAATTTTGACCCATACAGTAAATTGTTGGCTATTGCCACAAATATACCCATGCTTGTGACTGATTTTGTGATCCAGGGTCACATTCGTGGGTTTTCTGATGTGGAAATCCAGGTTTATGAACTTGGTTCATTGGGTTCATCTCACACTCACTTCTCACGATCGCCCCCTAGTGTTTTGTCACTTAGCATTTATGGTGCATCCACAAATTGCTGCTGATGAAATGTCTCATTACAAAAAGTAAAACGATTTTTTGATAATATACTATAATATAACCTATTATTCAATATTTTAAAAGATTTTAAACAAATATTAAATTAAATTATATTACTAAAGAAGATTATTGTATAATACATTTTATAGTCATATAAATTATAACTATAGATGTGTTATATTTTGTGACAACATATTTGATTCTCTATGCATATGAGCATGACTTTATGAATATACCAAAATAGGCATATCAATATTTACCAGTGGTGATAATCATACCCAGTTGTGACACCTGCTAACCCACAATTGAGCCATCACGCCGAGCCCAAGCCAGGAGTAGAGCTCTTGTAATTGGATGATCGGCGGGTAAATGTGGCATGTGTGAAAGCTCATTAAGCTTGTTGCATGTGGCTACGAATCAAAGTTTTATAATATGTCACCATGGACCTCTTCTGATGTAAAGCATTTGA